GTTCTCCACACTCTGGTCCTGTGTGGCGGTCAGGTGCGTGCCCCCGCACTCTGGCTCTGGGCTGGGGTATATAAGAGCTGAGCCCAGCGGTGTGGGGGCCTTCCTGGGATCTGAGACGTGGAGGAAGACCACTGTTGGATGGAGTGGAGCTGATAGTCTCCCTCAGAAACGAGCTGTGGATCTGAGCGAACGACACCACTCCATACTGAGCGAATACCCCCGGAGACGTCGTCTTTCCTTTCATCATGTCTATCTGGGTGTGAGCCAGTTGAGAATGACATTTTATGTCCTTGGTTGTGAAAATAGAGGGATTTTACTGCCTAAGGCGAAGGACTGTTTTTGAATACAGGTATTTTTGGTCAGGATTTTGAACTTTGGTTCTTTTGGTTTTTGCAGCCATACTGTTGTAGCCTTGACGCATGCGGAATGGTTTTGTTATTTGTGGATGAATTCTGTGGAATCTGCTTTAAGAAAATTCCTAGGCCCTGGATTTTATTTTCTTTGAGTGTTTTAAGAGGTCAGATTTTTCAAGACCCACGGCTGGCTAACTTTCCCCACTCTATGACCAACTTCTACCAAGAAGCTGTTGATTTACATTTGAGTCATTTAGCAGACGCTCTTGTCCCCTGTGGGAATTGAACCCACAACCCTGACGTTGCAAGCGCCATGCTCTACCAACTGAGCCACACGGGACAAGATCATCAGTTGCTGTTAACTGTTCATCTATGTTACCATTATGTCTCTCCTTTCGTCCACAGGCCTCACCGATGAGGACGCCAGCAGTGAATTGACGAGCCACACATAGAAGCCCCCCAGTCCCTCCCACCTCCAGCCCCCCTCCCCTCCCTCTGTCCCTCTCCCCTCCTTCTGACCCCTCTACCCCCACCCCACTCACCATGCTGATCAAGGAGTACCGGATCCCAATGCCAATGAGCGTGGACGAGTACCGCATCGCCCAGCTCTACATGATCCAGGTGTGTGGACTTGTACTAGACCTGTTTTAATAGGACTTTATCAGAGGAAGGGTTTTGACACTAGCAGGAAGTCAGGCTGATCAGTAATTTCTAACAAATGGGGTTGAACTCCAGAGCCATTGATTCTGGCCCAGTGCCATAGGCACATTGTAAACCTCAGCAAAGCGAACAGAGAGATAATCCACATGGATGGGTTGTTAACAATCTGAGGCAGACAGGAAAGGGATGGAGGTTAAATTGTCCTGTTGGATCAGTGACCCATAGTTACGTTTCCCCCTGACCTCAGCCTTCTCTGTGCAGCCTCTCTCTCTCGCTGGTGTGAAGTTCCCATTACCATGGTAACCATGACGACAGCAGCGTGCCGGCAGTCAGGTTTTGTTGGAGAGAGATGGAGTGTGGCGTGAGAGAGGAGAAGAAACCGTGGGGAGAATGTGGGGAAAGGCAGGGGAAGCGTAGGAGAGAGATATAGAGGGGGAGAGAGGAGGGAAAAATATTTTGGGGAGAGTAGAAGGCAGAGTGTGGATACCCTGTCTTCATTACTGTATGTTGCTAGGGCAAACACCAGGCAGCATGCTGGCCCCTGACCCATCCCCAGTGTAAGCATGGTGCCTCAAGCCTGGCTTGGCCTCTCAGTACAATTAAAATCTTCTCTGTACTGTATGAGTATCTTCACTCCAGCCGGCCAGACTCCTCCTGACTCCATGTTCCACACTGCTGTCTCTCGTTTATCTTCATACCTTATCACGCTGCCTCCTTAATTGATAGTTAATTGTGAATTCATTATCACGACTGGAATTTGCAAAGATATCACAAATGCAGGGTGTAAGTGAAATGAAGTCGGCACTTTTCTCTCTAATCACCACCCACCGTTTTGCTCTTCCAGAAAAGTGAGAACCGTCTCAACAGGAAATATGTTTCACTGATCTGATACCATATGGCATGTAGCAGGATATGACGCTATCCTCCAGTCAATACAGCCAGCCAGGTAGTTTTGAGGAAGCTGAACAGAAAGTAGTGCTGAGCAATTAACCAACATTTAGGTAATTTTTCATTTTTTAAACAACTAATTGACCGATGTCGGTTCAATTATTTGAATTCCATTTTGTTCATTTTTTTTCTGTGAGCTCAATGTGCACATTGGGCTGCAGATTTTCTAGAGATAAATCAGATCATGCCCGAACTGTGCGATGTATTAGGGAGTTGTAGTTTCCAACAGGCCAATGTTCTACATAGTTTAGCACAGAAAACGTGATCATTAACTACAATGTCCATAATCCGCGTCTACTTGTCCGGTCTATGTTTCTTTTACGCCTGCTACGTCAATCAAGAGGGGATGCATAAAGAGCAGTTGCTTTGCGAGGTATTGGTATTCAGCAGTCATAAAAGTATGCCATATTTACTTCAAAGAACTACTAAAATAGTGATTTTGTCAGACAGCATATGCAGCAGCTCTATAGAGATTAGATGATGGAATGAAATAATAAAGTCATCAAATACAACATGTAATAAACACAACAACTGAAATATTTGATTTAAGGTAGTCCTGAAGTAACATGAATAACTGATAATAATAAGTGATAAGCAGTCATGGGCAGTCACTACCATCAGGGACTTTTTTTTGTTTTATTCTGTGTTGCTACAGCATTCAACCCATGCATAGTGCATTTAATGTTTTTAAAAAATTATCGAAACCGAACTGACCTCAAAAAGCACTAATCGATTGAGTTGTCAACTAATGTGAATTCAACGTCAAATCAACTAAAATATTCACCATGTCATTGGATTTAGGTAAAAGGTGAAAAAAAGACTATCCCCTTACGTTGATGACTTTTTGCAAATCCAATCAGTTTTCCATGTTGATTCGACATCATCACATTGAACGTTTTTAGCTGAAATTATGTAGAACCAATGTTGATTCAACCTGTTTTTGCCCTGTGGGTTCCTTCAGCTCTACATTTAAATGTTTGTCATTTAGCAGACGCTCTTATCCAGAGCGACTTACAGGAGAAATTAGGGTTAAGTGCATTGCTCAAGGGCACATTGACAGATGTGTCACCTATTCGGCTTCGGGATTCGAACCAGCGACCTTTCGGTTACTGGCCCAATTCTCTTAACCGTTAGGCTACCTGCTGAGCTGTGGCCTGGGATTTTTTATCTTCCTGATGGTTTCTTGTGAGCTGCAGAGCACCAAGAGCCAATCTCTGGCAGGAGGGCAGGATTGATACTGGCCAGTGGCACACAGGCTCGCAGGCCACAGGCACCTGTCAGCAGGCTAATGAAGTGCCTTGTGTGGGTGTGCATGTGTGTGGGTGTATACACACTACAGTATGTCTGTGTAAGTGTCTGGCTGTGGGCGTGCGTTTGTGCAGCTGTGCGTACATGGGCCTATACTGTATGCTTTGCGGAGTGTTTTTGAGCATCTGCTTGTGTGTGTGTGTGTGTGTGTGTGTGTGTGTGTGTGTACACTGAGTGTACAAAACATTAGGAACACCTTCCTAAAATTGAGTTGCACCCCGTTTTGCCCTCAGAACAGCCTCAATTCGTCAGGGCATGGACTCTACAAGGTACCGAAAGTGTTCCACAGGAATGCTGGCCCATGTTGACTCCAATGCTTCCCACAGTTGGCTGGATGTCTTTTGGGTGGTGGGCCTGTCTTGATACGCATGGGAAACCCACGCAGCATTGCAGTTCTTGATACACTCAAACCGGTGTGACTGGCACCTACTACCATACCCCGTTCAAAGGCACTTTTATCTTGCCCATTCACCCTCTGAATGGCACACACAAACAATCCATGTCTCAATTGTGTCAACGCTTAAAATCCTTCTTTAACCTGTCTCCTCCCCTTCATCTACACTGATTTGAAGTGGATTTAACAAGTGACATCAATAAGGGATCATAGCTTTCACCTGGATTCACCTGGTCAGGCTATGTCATGGAAAGAGCAGGTGTTCAGTCAGTATCTGTGCTGTGTCTGTGGAGCTGTGTCTGGCTGTTGAGAGCAGGGCGGGTGGCTAATGAACGACCTGTCAGAGGTAATGAGGGCTGGAGGGGTGGACACCTCACGCACCATCTCATCTCCCCACCACACCACAAATTCACTGCCTGCTCTGACACTCCATCTTGCTCTCCTTCTCTATCCTGTTCTCCCTCTCTATCCTGTTCTCCCTCTCTATCCTGTTCTCCCTCTCTATCCTGTTCTCCCTCTCTATCCTGTTCTCCCTCTCTATCCTGTTCTCCCTCTCTATCCTGTTCTCCTTCTCTATCCTGTTCTCCTTCTCTATCCTGTTCTCCTACACTATCCTGTTCTCCTACACTATCCTGTTCTCCTTCTCTATCCTGTTCTCCCTCTCTATCCTGTTCTCCCTCTCTATCCTGTTCTCCTTCTCTATCCTGTTCTCCTTCTCTATCCTGTTCTCCTACACTATCCTGTTCTCCTTCTCTATCCTGTTCTCCCTCTCTATTCTGTTCTCTTTCTCTATCCTATTCTCCTACACTATCCTGTTCTCCTTCTCTATCCTGTTCTCCTACACTATCCTGTTCTCCTACACTATCCTGTTCTCCCTCTCTATCCTGTTCTCGTACACTATCCTGTTCTCCTTCTCTATCCTGTTCTCCTTCACTATCCTGTTCTCCCTCTCCATGCCGTAAATGCTGTCTGTAATTAGTCAAATACATGTATCAGAATTTCAAAGTGAAGAATAGAACATTATGTAAAAGCAGGTAGTGGCTAGGGTATTACATGCACATGTAATATTGACTATTACTCAGACTCTCTGGAAATGTTGTACTGTAGTCCTTGCCCTTTACTCCTCAAGTTTTCAGCGTCCTCAGCACTTGGACTCTGTTCCCTAATGTACCTTTAGCACTCCTGTTTCCCAAATTTTTACATCATGAAGCCTCTCCCTGGTGGATCTCACTGCGTTATGTTTGAAAAGTAAAGTCATCCAACCATTAAGTCCCCTATGACGTCTCCTTCTAGCCACCCACCCTCCCCCCTTTCTGTGGTGTACCTGGAATGTTAGTATGGGAAAGGTGTGTTTCACTGAACTGGCTGGGCAACACTCCTGACTTAGCAGTGTAGGTCATACCTGGAGGCAATGGTTATTGTCCACACACATGAGTCATGACATGGTGTGTTTACAACTGTCAGCTGTCTGGAACTTTACCAGCAGGGTAGAGTTTGTCAAAGCATCAGTTTTAGTGCAGAAAACCTTTGTGTGTCGCCTATGGAACAGATGAAATAACAGACCTGGAGCTTTCTAGACCTACTAGGAACAGCCTTGAGCCTAATGGAATCAGCTACTCAAGCAACATAATGTCTTGGTGATTCACCGATTCTGTTGAAGATAAATGACAACATCTTCTGTGTTTAGATTCATAAAAACAACATTTGTAGCAGATTCATTGTTTTGGATTTAGAGGGATGCCACACTTGACTTGTTGTCTTTCCAGCAGTGTACTTCTCCTGACCTCCCTTGTTTAACCTCATTTCAGTCCTCAGTTGACCTTTGACCTATGCTTCCTCACCTAACCCGTCACTGAAAATGTATTCTGATCTGAACAGAAAAAGAGCCGGGATGAGACCTGTGGCGAAGGCAGCGGAGTGGAGATCCTGGAGAACAAGCCTTATGATGACGGCCCAGGGGGAATCGGCCAGTACACCCACAAGGTCTACCACATCGGCATGCACATCCCCAGCTGGTTCCGCTCCATCCTGCCCAAGGCAGCACTCCGGGTGGAGGAGGAGTCCTGGAACGCCTACCCCTACACCCGCACAAGGTGTGAGACTACTGCCCCCTACAGGAGTACCACCCTTACACCCCTCACACACACAGGAGTACCACCCTACTTTATGTTATTTTTAGTACTATATTGATATTGATTACTGCATTGTTGGGTTTAGAGCTTGCAAGAAAGGCATTTCACTGTAGTTGTGCACGTGACATTGAAACTGAAACACCCCCACACACATAGGAGTACCACCCTTACTACCCCCCACACACAGAATTACCCACACAGATCAGTACCACCCTTACACCCCCATACAGTCAGGGAGCCTCCCCCACTTCCACAGGAAAAGCTCAACATGTGAGCCAGTACAGTATGATGAGACTGTTTCCCCTAAGCTTATACCCATGCCCATAGTGAGGGAGTTGATAGGGAGGGCGTCGATTTTGAGGGGTATGATCAGTTGTATTCAACAGACCATCTCAACATCAAACCTTATCCATAATGGAGTGATTGTTTATATAATCTGCCTCTTCAGGAAAATACTGTTACTAAGAGCCAAGTAAAGAGCCAAGCAAAGCTTCCAGAGCAGTTGTCAGAACACTGCTGAGCGTGCCAACCAAGACATGGACAGTCTTCAAGTCAGCAGCTCTGCTAGCCAGCCTGTCGTTAAGAGTTGATGACTCCCCAAGTCTTAGGGTCTGTCTGTCTGTCTGTCTGGGGCCTGGGCAGAGCCGCAGGCGTGAGGCTGCTGAAATGAGAAGTGCCCCTTGAAAACACTGTCAAGGTATTGATAGACTGGAGCCGTCTGCTGACACGTTTATCAAAGCAGTGACAGCTCTGCTGCAGAAGACTGACTCGAGAGATGGGCAGAGCTAGCACCTCTACACCTCGCCTGGAGCCAGAAACAGAGAGCGAGAGTTCGGGGTGAGAAAGATCTAGAGTGACAGACAGAGACGAATACAAGCAGTAGCTAACTCTTGCCATGTAGGCATATTTTGGGCCTGCCCATCATTTAACAAAGAACCCACTAAATAACAGAGACATCAAGATGTTTCCACCAGTAATTTCCCTGTGAGTATATACTGTGTCCAGGTCAACATATTGTGGTTATTTATTACCGTGACCTCTAAGCTTGCTGTCTTTTCTCCTCCAGGTACACCTGTCCCTTTGTTGAGAAGTTCTCCATTGACATTGAGACATACTACAAGCCAGACACAGGGAACCAGCCAGACGTCTTCAACATGTCCCCAGTCGAGAAAAGGCTAAGGACTCTGGGTAAGAACCTGTGGTGCAAGTCTGGGACAAATAGTGGGAGATTAGAAGGACACTATAGCTTCAGACCACAGTGTCCAAATTGACAACACTGTTAGATGGTGATTATTTTTCCTCACTATGGACAACTTACAAAATGACAGACCTATGTTAGTGGTCTTGTTTGAATAGTCATGATTAGTATTGAGGTCTTCCTGACGCATGACCTCCACAAGGGTTAGAGGGAAGCTCCTGGTCTCACACAGCAGCCAGTAGAGTAGAGGCCCACTGGTGGCCGTTTGCTACCACTGCAGCTGTTTTCCTGTTGTTGGCGGCAATAGAGTCTCGTCAGAAGTGATGCTGCTCAGATGCTCATGGTTTGAGGGCATGCAGTGACCTAATTTACACAATTCATTGCCAGTGTTCCTGAGATGTCATGAATGACATTTCTACCCTGGTTCATCGTCAGCTGTTGACTGAAAAGGGAAAATGTTTGTCTTAGAAATACCAAATCCAGTGTGTACTATTAAGTGTCCTAGATTTAATTAACGTGTCAAAATAACTTGGTTGTTAAACAATTTTGTTTCGACCAACAGCCATAAAACGACTGGCTATGTTATGTAGGAAAATGTGGACACCCCAACAAACCACCTGCTCATATGTACATGTTATTTCTGGCATACGTGTTCAAATCAGACTCTCTTGCAGACCCCATCGACATTGTCAAAGATCCCATCCCCCCACATGAGTACATGCAAGAGGAGGACCCTCGGATCTACAGGTCAGACAAGACCAAGAGAGGCCCTCTGCAGGAGGACTGGATCGAGGAGTACAACAATAACCCAGGGAAGACGCCCATCATGTGTGCTTACAAACTGTGCAAGGTGGAGTTCCGCTACTGGGGCATGCAGTCCAAGATCGAGCGCTTCATCCATGATGTAGGTGCGTATTAGATGGGATTAGTCGTTGAAAGAGTACTTTTAACAGTACCTTGATATATCCCTTCCCCGGTGCTGGCATATGAGTGCTTGGTCCAAGAGCAGTAGTGTTTCCATACTACAGGCATGCTGCTGCTGACTAGTTTAGCTAGCAAACTTCAGCTGACATCGTGTCAATATGTTATAGGTGGTGGCCAGGTGGGATGCACTGATCTTTTCCAGTGCTGTCTGTCTAAATATTCTCCCCTCCCATCCCTCAGGGCTGAGGAAGGTGATGGTGCGGGCCCACCGGCAGGCCTGGTGCTGGCAGGATGAGTGGTACGGCCTGACCATTGAGGACATCAGACAGCTGGAGCTGGAGACCCAGCTTGCTCTGGCCCAGAAGATGGCCCAGTTCAGCCAGGCAGAGGAGGCCACTGAGGCCAATGGAGCTGCTTCATCCCCAGACAAGAACCAGGAGGCCAAAGATACCATCAGCTCCTTAGAAACTGAGGAGGTGGTCAGTGCAGGGGGTGGGGGAGACTCTCTCCAAACAAAACGAGCAGGGCTCACCAAGCAGTGGTCCACCTCCTCCAGATCCTCCCGCTCATCCAAGAGAGGAGGTGAGATGTTTGAGCCCAATTGTCTGTATCTGTGTGGAGATGTTGGACTGTTTAACAAGCAGGTGGTGTACAGACATCATTTGTTATTGAGTATGTATCTAGGTGCTGTATCTACACTACCACTGTCCCTGCTTTATCCAGATATGTTTTACCTGCTTGTTCAATATACAGTCTAAGGACAAACCCCTCTCCTACAGACAGTACAACCCCCATCCCCACCTCTAAGCAGCAGTCAGAATCCTGCCTGCCACCTGGACCCTCTCTCTCTGCCAGTCAGCCTCATTTCACCCCCTATTACCTAAGACCGGGAATTGCCAGGGACCTCATGATACGATATTATCACGATACTTAGGTGCCGATACGATATGTATTACGATTCTCACAATTCTATATGTAATGCTATTTGATACTGTGATTTTGTTGCGATTCAATGTTCCAAACATATTGCTCACCATATGTCTGCTGCAGAACGACAAGGGAGAACCATGAGAAAACAAGTTTTGATCAGTCATGGAAATAAAAGTGCTGAAACAAATTGGCTCCCTATTTAAAAAGAAAAAAGAAAACAAGCTATGAAGGAAAAATACTGAGTTTTGGTGCAGGTACAGCCAACTAGCGCAAAAATAATATTGTGTTTTTGTCAATACGTTACGATATATCGTCAAATATAATATCCCGATATGTAACTGTATAGAATTTTTTCCCCCAATAACTACTATTATCCCACTCTACAGCGCTCTCCTGGGCTATTTATAGCAGCAGTATTGACATCACAGGCTAGTGGAGACTGACTCTCTTCACACTGACCCTCCGCTCCACCCCTGCTGCTCCTCTCTCTTGGCTGACAGGCACAGCTGCGCTCCCTAGCCCATGAGCATCCAGCCAGCCAGGCTTTCAAAGAGACCCCCCCCCCCTCCTCCTCAGTAATGATATAGGAAGCTAACAACAGACATGAGGGACAGACAGTCCTACTTTTAGTCCAGGGTCTTTTTTCTGTGCGCTAATTGACTGTTAGTGTGTCTGTGTTACGTTGGACTCCACACTTCACACCCCCTCCTGACCACTGAGCAATTGATCTGTGATTAAGTCAAGCGTAACAGAGACTGTTGAGTGTTTGTGTGTGTATCAGCAGGAGTGTGTATTAGTAGGAATATGATGCAGTTGGGTCTTAAAATAACAGTGGTACGGTTTGTTCCCCTCTGTGTGATTCAGCGAGCCCATCACGCCACAGCCTCTCTGAATGGAGGATGCAGAGCATAGCACGAGACTCCGAGGACAGCTCAGAAGAGGAGTTCTTTGATGCTCACGGTAAATCCACCATTTTGATAAAGTCCTCTTAGAGGCCTGGAGTAGGTTACAGGAGACAACACTAGTAGTGTGTTCCTTTCCCGTAACCCTCCTGTTGCATCCTCCTTTGACTCAGCATGCGTCTCTTCAACACAGATCAGTTCTTAAGCTACCCAGATACCCAGCATGCTTTTGGCTTGCGGTTGAAATAGGTGGGTGTAGCTCGACACTTCGGTTCATCTGCTGGCCCAGGAGAGGACTGACCCCGGGTTTTGGCTTGTCCTGAAGAAGTGCTGAAATCATCACCCTCTACCTTCACCTGTTCCCCATTGACAAAACTATCTCCCCCTGCCCTCCTACACACACAACACACACCTTTACACCATCCCTATTGCATTTACCAGACAGTTCGTGAAGACATTACTAAGTCTGTACTTCATAAAGCTCATCACCTCCCCACATCCATCACACATTGCCTGTAGAGAGTCAATCATCCCATCAAGTCAATCCACAAAATGATGTATGTGTGGAAGCATGATTAACTTTGATTTTTTAATGACATAATAAAGTAAGAAGTAATGAAATAAGAATAATAAAGCAATGCATGTTTCCTTTGTATCTATTTATTTAGATGATACTGATGCTATTTGGATTAAATCTGTATCAACAGTTGAAACTGTTCATGAGATGTCATGAAGTAACTGCATGTGCATTTAGCTGCATGTTCAAATATATATAGCTGTATGCTTTTGGTGTTTGTGCCGTTATTTATGTTCACAATGAGATGGTAGCTGTTTCTGGTGAATATAAATTGTTGTTTCATCCCTGGATTCATCTGTTTTTCACTAACCATCATACAGTGGTATGTTTATACCATTATACACACCCCAGTATGTGGCTATCGGGAGTCTTCAACTTTTCATTGGACACCTGATTAGTTAATTTAAATCAATTAAAATGTGGAAACTAAATGCTGAAACATAATCAAATAATGCTTCACTGTAACTTGTTTTATTATACAAGCAACCCTACTCAGTCGCTTCATGAGTTAATCCCTTGATAATGAACTCAGACAACATTGCCATAATGAGCAAGGATTTCTAGAGCAGCAGTTTGGTGAGGGTTGTAATGTAATAGGACAGTAAGTACTGACATTGGCTCCACAGAATATTTTCCTCATTACATTTTCCTTGTGAGCACAGTAGCATATCATAAGAGCTGAGAACACCCATGCCTGTCTCTGGATGAGCCGTTCATTAAGATTACCATGATCAGATGGTGATGCGATTGTAGAGATTACAAGGATGACAATAGCATACATACAGGCATATGTAATATGTATAAATATGTCTGTAATTAAATTAACAGAATCAAGTCTGATAGTAGGCATATAGCTATAACATTCTGTCATCATAGTGCCACACTGCTTACACTATCCATTCATGACCATTTTATGTCAGATCATGGAATGATTAAACCAATATGACACATGAATGCTGCTGCTCTGTAGCAAAAGTGTTTGAGCATACTCCGATAAATGCTCATGCTCATATAAAAGCTTTGATACTGCTCAGCTTCTTTAACTGAACTGAGCTTCTCCCTGATCTGTGCAAATGAGGACCAGCAAAACATTGTTTTGGAGGTTTGAGTGGTGACCTTTTGATAAAGCAGAAGTGTGCATAGGATACAGGTTCTATAATGTGATTTCACTGAAACATCCCAGTGGCTTGGTGATTTGATTGAGGAGGCTATGCTATTCCAAAACCACTATTGTTTCTAAAGGAACACATAAAATGCAAGGTAGCAATTACTTTATTTATCAGTATTAATATTTATCTCAAATCATAATGTCCTATGGTAGCGATCAGGGTGTACTGTATGTTTGTCTCTATCTGTACTCCGCCAGTACACGGAAGCCTCTTTCACATTTGTGAACATATAAATGTCTAAAAAGTTCAGTGTTCCTTGTCACAGAATGTTTGAGAATGATCTGTGACTGGTCATCTGGGCCCAGTTTTTCAAAAAGTATCTGGATTTCTCCTATAGGATTAAATGCATAGAAATAGAATGAATAGAACGGACAAATCATTGACTTGAATGGGGACTCCCTTTCTAAATCCGGATAGATAACTTTTGAAAAACTGGGCCCTGAATATACTGCAGATGGGATAAAATGGCACATTGACTTAATAGGTATAATACTTGGTAATATGGACACTTCGTAAAAACTAATCCTGTCCCTTCTCCCCACAGAGGACTTGTCAGGTGATGAAGACATTTTCCCCAAGGAGATCGCCAAGTGGAACTCCAACGACCTCATGGACAAGATTGAGGCGGCTGACGCAGAAGACACCCCTGGTATGGAGACAAACGCTGTCTGTGTTGTATTATGGGAGATGTAGGCAAGACAGAGGAGATGGAGTTTGTGTCAAAGTGTCTTTTTTTTACTGACAGTATTATATTACTCTGATTCTCAATGTTAAAGTGTGTCTGTGGATGTTTCTGCAGGAGAGCTGTACAAGGATATGGCAGGGGACTATGAGAGGGCAGCCAGCGAGGAGAGACTAGATGAGGTAGGTACCTGGGAGGGTGAATGGCTTTTCAACTGAACATTGATATACCAACAACTCCATTACATTCAGACCCAATATCAGTAGCATGTCACATAGATGCGGTCTGGCTGAGTTCATATTCAGACAAAATATCAACATTGAACATGCAGGAGGTATGAGCTAAAAGGAAACTTAAATCCCAGTCACTAAAGATGATAATAATAATAATAATAATAATAATAATAATAATAATAATAATAATAATTGGTCATTTAGCAGACGCTCTTATCCAGAGCGACTTACAGGAGCAATTAGGGTTCGACAGATTTTTCACCTAGTCGGCTCGGGGATTAGAACCAGCGACCTTTCGGTTACTGGCACAACGCTCTTAACCACTAAGCTACCTGCCTAAAGCGTTCAGGCCTAACAGTAGGTGTTGAAGTGAATATTCTGTGTAGGGCTTTAGTGGTCCACTCCTTTAGACTCTCTGTCTTGTGTTCAGATGGGTGGCTCTGTTAGCAGCCAAGCCTATAGCTCTACCATTCCCACCATCACTGTAACCAAGCACCAGTCAGTAAGTAAACTTCCTGTCCCATTCCATTATGGGCCAGAGTAGATCCACAGAGACCCTAACAGACCCAGTACTAACCACCCTGCTCCTGCCCTTGCCCCAGCCCACCCCCTCTCTACTCCTCAAACCCCCTATCCCTTGTGAAATATCCTCTGAACTGTAGTCGTGGCGTTTACAGTGTACAGCCTCTAAAAAATGTGAGTTTTGGAAAACACAAAAACTTAACATTTACATTTTCCCCTTTTATGTCAGTGTGGTTTTGTATTTCTATACAAATGTGTCTTTGCCCTTGGTTTTTGTTGTTGTTGGCTTGTTGTTGTGGTTGGCTAAAGTTGGAATCGTTTGCAATGTGACCAGCTGGGGTGTAGGTTGGTCCAGCGTCTCTTAATGATGCTCTCAGTGTGAAGAGGAAAGCTGGACAAGCATGCTGTTGCTGGATAGGGTGTAGTTATCACACACTGTATACACTTCCTGTGTTTCATATCTGAAGGAAGTGGAAGTGCACACTGAACACACAATGAGACGTATCACTATATACTAAAGAGGTGTGTGCAAACACAAAGCCCTGTTACTGTCTGTGTGGTTTTGTGAGTAAGTCAAGAAGCATGTTGTCAGTGGTCATGATACATTAGCAGCCAAGCCAGAAGCATGGTTCTATGGGTGAATGGCTTCATTTCCGTTGAGTTTAACAGATCTCTCTGCCCCTCATCCTGCCTTTTCTCTTCACCTCCCATTCACTCCATCCATTCCCCCTCCTTTCCTCCCCCATAATAGGACCTCTCCTCCCAGCAGTGTCTGCAGCCTTCTAAGATTCATGTGCTAATCCTGGTGCTACATGGGGGCAACATCCTGGACACGGGCGGAGGGGACCAGACCAGTAAGCAAGGCGATGTCAACACCATCAGCACGGCCTTTGACGCGGTGATGCGCGTGCACTATCCCACTGCGCTGGGTCGCATCGCCATCCGCCTGGTTCCCTGTCCCGCCATCTGCGCTGAGGCCTTCTCCCTGGTGTCCAAGTGAGGGACACACACACTACACAACCGTAGATACTGTGTACACAACTACAGTACACACACTACTTCTACTACTATTACTAACCTATCCCCTGTGTGTGTGTCCCTGGCTTCAGTCTGAGCCCATACAGTTATGATGAGAGCTGTCTGTCTAGCAGTCAGGACCACATCCCCCTGGCTGCCCTGCCTCTCCTGGCCACCTCCGCCCCCCAGTACCAGGAGGCTGTGGCCACTGTCATCATGAGAGCCAACCAGGTGTACAATGACTTCATCAGGTCCCTGAACGGGGCAACCTTCTCTGGCCAGGTGAGGAGCTGCTACTGGCCTGTCAGCGTCTCCATTGTTACGGACAACGGCTGCTCTTTATTTGGAGTCTAAAATTGCAAGAGCATGTTTCCAAGTCAAGGAGGATATTTCTTATGAAGAACATCATTTGGATTTGAATCCTTTTAGCAACAAATTAATTATGTGGGTGTTTTCTGTTTCTAAATTATGTGGGTGTTTTCTGTTCCTGCAGGTAAGACAAATGAAGCTAGCATTCAATATTTGACGCAAGTTGAATTTAGTATACATTTTTATAAAAAATTGTCAGAGGCTCACATAATTTGATTAGATTATTTGTACGTGTGTGTGCCCACATGTTTGTGGGTGTGTTTGATGATGTGGTTATTACGGCTGATTCTTTTTAAAGGGGTTGGGCACTCTTATCTGCATCCTGTTTGATATCTAATGATCTGATCTGTTTTAGTAAATTGACCTGTGACCTCTGTGTAGGTGTGCCTGATTGGGGACTGTGTGGGAGGGATCCTGGGGTTTGACGCATTGTGCAACAGCAACCAAACTATTGGTGAGAGCCAGAACAGCAGCCGCAGGGGTAGTGTAATCAGCGTACAGGTAAGACCTAAACCTTGAAGCTTAGTTACTCTCCCTGTTCCTAAGCTTGCATCTTTACCCATACCCCAAATCACAGACACTCACTCACCCAGGAGCTCTAAATACAAGTTTCAACGCTCTAGTATTTCACCACCACATTTCTCCTCTGGGAAGGACACTTATCCAGCGCCCAACCTAGGTCTGGTGCCATTTGCATGTCAGTCAAGTTCACTATACATTCCCCAACCTCTGTCCTCCCCTCATCCCTCCCTGCAGGACCAGGACCTCCTCTCCCCAGGCATCATCATCAACAGTGGGCACGGCTCTGCCTCTCCCACCCTGGAGGGCAGCCGCCACCTGAGCCTCAGCAACATCGACATCCCCCGCTCAGGAGGACCAGACGACCCCAAGAGACAGCTGCCCCGCAAAAGGAGCGACTCCTCCACATACGAGCTGGACACCATCAAACACCACCAGGCCTTCCTGACCAGGTGTGACGGTGGTTTATATTACTACAGTTACATTCCATCATTGATGTAGCTGATGGATAATTTGTTACTGTCACTGTACTGAGAAGGGTATGGCTATGCATGTGATATTGTAGAGTCATGGGTTGCTATAATCTTTTACCTACATTGGTCTCTGTTTGTCTTACTGTGTGCTGTGTTTGTGTGTATACTTGTGGATGTGCTTCCCTTCTGACTCTGGCTGTTTGTCTATTGTTGTCCCCTCAGCCTCCACTCCAGTGTTCTGCGGACCGACCCGTGCTCCCGCAGGTCCAGCAGCAGCACCTTCCAGGATGCAGGCTGTCTGGGGAAGTTTGACTTTGAGGTGGCAGACTTCTTCCTCTTCGGCTCTCCTCTGGGCCTTGTCCTTGCCCTGAGGAAGACTGTCATTCCTGTGCTGGATGGTAATCCCACCTAAACAGAGGGAAAATGAATAAAGTGCTTTAAAAATGTATTATTTAATATGTGAAAAGTTTTGTGCTATGAATCGGGTAGTGAAAGCCTAGTAGGTACTGTGGGGTCTTAACTCCTTGAAACCCCCTTCTCCTTCTTTACGCCTGTTAACTCTGTCTCCCCTTAGTGGCCCAGCTGCGCCCAGCTTGCCAGCAGGTCTACAACCTGTTCCATCCAGCCGACCCCTCAGCCTCGCGCCTGGAGCCCCTCCTGGAGAAGAAGTTCCACCTCCTGCCCCCCTTCAACGTACCCCGCTACACACGCTTTCCCCTGGGGGACGGCAACTCTGCTCTACTGGGTGAGCACACTGGAATGAAAGCTGGAAGAGTTCACTCAGACTCACACACAGTCCTGTACCTGTATGAGCATATATCTGTTGTGGATTTATATGCAAACAAAAATGTACTAATTTGTTACATTCATTGGTTATATAGCCCTTGTTTTGATTAGCCATTGGGGACTCTGTGTGATGTAACAGTGTGTAGAAACTGACCAATGTGATGGAATATGTTGTTAGTTTTCTGACTTCTTTCCCACACGTGCAGGGAATGTCTCAGAGACCTATTGCCAGTGGTCTGTGGTTTGCTATAGAGAGATACACCGAAAATAGCTTCAAGTTGAGAAAAATGAAAAAATATATATTGTTTGTGCTTCAAGTCTTTGTGAAGCAATGTTCTCATGTATATATTGTCATGGTGCTGCTGGTTTCTGTTGTGGTTGGTTAGCCCTTACAGTAGATTAACCTTAAAGGTTACACTGCACCTTTTCTGTTTAAGTAGGGGGCGGCTGGTAACCTAGCGGTTAAGAGCATTGGGCGAGTAACCAAAAGGTTGCTGGTTCGAATCCCCGAGCCGGCAAGGTAGAAAAATCTGCTGTTCTGCCCTTGAGCAAGGCAGTTAACCCCCAACAACTACTGCTCCCTGGGCACCGATGATGTGGACGTCAATTAAGGCAGCCCCCCACACCTCTCTGATTCAGAGGGGTTGGGTTAAATGCGGAAGACACATTTCGGTTGAATGCATTCAGTTGTGCAACTGACTAGGGATCGTATTTCCCTTCCCAATGATACAGTATTATTCTGGATATTTAATTTTGATTATTTTTATCTTAGAAATGATATGATAGATTGTTAAGTAATATGTTGATAGTTTTTATCTAATGAGCTGTCAGCCCATATTCTCAGGTGTACTGTGCAGCATTAATCATTGAGAAAGTTTTAATTATTCATTTTGGTTCCGTAATCAGTGTGTGCAGAGGTTAATTTAAATGCGAGTCAGAACCAGAGTCATATATACACTGAGTGTACAAAACATTAACACCTGCTCTTTGCATGACAGACTGACCAGGTGAATCCAGGTGAAAGCAATGAGCCCTTATTGATGTCACTTGTTAAATCCACTTCAATCAGTGTAGATGAAGGGGAGGAGACAGGTTAAAGAAGGATTTTTAAACCTTGAGACAGTTAAGACATGGATTGTGTAAGTGTGCCATTTAGAGGGTGAATGGGCAAGACAAAATATTTAAGTGCCTTGGTAGTAGGGTAGGGTAGTAGGTGTCAGGCATACTGGTTTGTGTCAAGAACTGCAACACTGCTGGGTTTTTCCACCACCCAAAGGACATCCACCCAACTTGACACAGCTGTGGGAAGCTTTTGACACCTTGTAGAGTCCATGCCCCAACTAATTGAGGCGGTTCTAAAGGCAAAAAGGGGGGGGGGGGGGGGGGGGGGGATATGCAATTTGTTGACACCACAACACAGTACAGACTTGGATACACATTATCCCAAATGCTACTCTGTTTTGCTTTTTTACAGCGGGTCAATTCATAGGGAACTGTCGGAGGCGTTCTCGTGTTGTTACATCACTAACATTTTTAGAATAAATGTGCTAACATGGTGGCCTGAATTACAATCCAAGAACAGCATCACCCTGCTCCCCTAAGCTCTACTACAACCTGTTGTTGCCTTAGTTACTGCTACTGCAGTATTTCCTGTAGCTCTAATGGCTTGACTCGTTTCACATTTCTGTTGTTCTTGTTATTGCTTCATGTTTTCTGTGTCTTCATTGTCTTCCTTTCCCCTCTCTCGGCCTCCTGCCCCCATCTCTGCAAAAACCTACCCCCTTCCCCTGAAAACCCTGCCCCCTCCCCTCTGATCCCCCACCTCCCCCTCTAGTGGAGACAGTCCAGAGCAACCCTCAGCTCCTGCTCGATAGTGGGACCCCCCTCTCTTTCCGCTGTCAGGAGGCCATCAGCGAGACCTGCATCCCTGTGCCCGTGCTAAACTGGCAGGAGGGCTCCCTCAAGGCCACACCTGCTGTTCTGGAGTGTGTGTAGCCTCTCCTCTTCACCTGCATCCCCCCCGATGTCTCTCACTCTGTGTCGTACATGTCTTTTTGTGTTAGTTGCACCCTCTCTTTCCACACTGACTTTGTCTGTGTATGTATGTTTTCACACCCTTACCAATACTGGTGCATTAGAATGCTTTGGGAATGTTACCCCAGTCAAGAGTTGGGGTCACATTACTGGCTGTTCCAGGTCAATCGTGTCATGTATGAGCCCTCATTCTGCAGGATTCAGTCCATTGCCTTTATTATAGCTCATTAGCATGGCCCTCAGAACCTGTCTGTTTAAACTATCTCTAAACAATGAGGTGATCAAAATGCAATAGTCATTAGTTGTTGGAATTTTAGTGATTTAGAGAGACAGCAATGGCTGACACAGTGAATGAAACCTTGACCTGGAATAGTCTGTCCTTGTTTTGCTGTGTTTCGCTGTTGCCATAAATGATTGATGTCCTTTGAAATGGTATGAAAATATGGTGCCTCTTCCTGCACTCATTGTTATTATGTGGTTTCTTTGCTGCTGCAGCATCTCCTCGACGTCAAATACAAGAGTTGGGGAGTGTGTTTAAGGTGGTAGGCAATGGTCCCCATATAAACCATAACACTGTGACTAGAGAACTATCTTCTGGGTGATTTTGCCAAATCTGAGGCTTGGAAGCTATACTGACTGTGTTGCTCAGATGTCTGCTTGAATCATTGAACCCTGCCCCTGCCCCTTGCATTGTAATTGTGTATCCTTGTGTTTTTCTGCTAGTGATGGTGGTGAATATTGTATCTCCTGACCTTTTTGTTACAACATGTAGATTAGCTTCGTATACTAAATGGGACTGTTACCACTAAAAATACATACAATAATAATCCAGCTAATCATTTGACAGATATTAAAAACTTTGAGACATAGTACTGTGACAACCAATGGAGTAACATGTCACTTTTAACATGCTGTTGTATTCATCAGGCCACTATTTGATCACTCACTGATTGTCCAAGAAATCTGACGTTGGCACCTGCTGGTTTCTGAAACCATGGTGTGGTCCATCACATTTCTTGGTTGCAACCCCCTCCTTCTCATCCTGTTGCCTTCCTGTTCATCCACCTCTCCTCTTGTCTATGTCTAATGGGATCTCCTTGTTTCGACTCAATAGCGGATGTTGTTCAGTCTCATGGTGGTGTCTTCATGGACAGTTCGTACCCCTCCTCCCCTGTTACGGGCCCCCACTGCCGGGGCCTGCGCAGGGCCAGTGAGGTCAGCATTGCCAGCCAGGTTTCAGGAATGGCAGACAGTTACACTGCCACCAACATAGCCAACAGTAAGTGTTCTCGTTACCACAAGTATCTCTCTCACACTGCTCCATCTCAACTCCTCTTTCAGTCAATCTCTTCTCTAGTCTTTCTCTCTTCTTATTTCCACCCCCTCTTTTCTTTTCTGTCTTGCTCTATCTTCCTGGTCCTACTCCACTGCAATCTTTTCTCTCAATCTTCTCTCTCTCTCATTCTGACCGTTCTTACTCAGACTCTGCACACATCACTCACTGCGCCGGATCCCAAGCAGCTCTGTAGTGACCCAGTTGTGCCTGCATTCACAGAATAACCACATAGCTACCTGCTAGCTCAGCTCCAACACATTATGACACCTGTGATGGATTGCACTGCTCTAAGCCCCTTCATCATAGAGGGAGCGTAACATCACCACAGACATACAGTGGACGTTATCCATTGTTCAAATACAATGTGCCAGAAGATTATTACTCTACTACTAGAGAAGCAAAAGCTCACCTCCTTTCACTGCGTGTCTGTCTTACTCTGACCCATTGTTTGAATATAAATGCAAAGGCTGTGTTCTGCATTTATTTAATGTTTGCCATGCATGTAAAGAGACCCGTTTAGCTGAATCATTCCTGCATTGTTCGCTCCCTGTCGCACTGTCTGCCCAGGTGACCAAGCTTCTGTTGTGTTATACTCTCTATCTGAAGTGGATATGTCCTATATAAGGCCTAATAACACCTACAGAAGTATCACATGGCTTTCAAAACATTTACTAACAATGTACTCAGTTGGGAAGTTGTGCGTTGATGAGAGAATTTCCAGTTCATGGTTATTGGAAGAAATGCCATGGAATGCTTTTTTCACTGTTCAGGAATACAACAAAACTGAGAGTGCACAATATGTTGTGAAAAAAGTATGAAAATGGGTTTTGTCAAAGATCATTCTAACCTTCTTTTTCAGTTCATCTGAGGACCAGTTGGACACTCAATTGAATACTTTGTTTTGAAGCCATTTTCAGGTTGTGAATGCAGCTGGTAGCAAAAGTACTTCACATTTGTTTGTAAACTGGAATTAACTGCATTATACTGTATGACACCAATTTCCTTTGTCATTATCCATCAATAATTTTCACGTGGTTTCTTTCTTTTTGTTTTGTTTCCCATAGCACAACCATGCCAAATTAACCAAACCAAAAAACTCAGCCTTTTGTCCCAAATCGCCCTGACATCACAAACCAAATTCTCCCTGAGAAGCCCCCATAAGTCCTGTAGAAAAGAAAGGACTGATCCAGTCCAAGGATCTACTGACACAGACACAGGAAATGGGCCACAACCAGACCAAGAGGCAGACCCAGAAGCTAACAGATGTGTAAGCCCCTGTGGCTCTGGTCAGTTAGAGAGACACCTGTCAGCTGGCCTGGATTATACCATATATGACCTGGTCTCCCTGGACTCCCAGGCAGAGGTGGATCAAGGTATTCTTCTAAGAGACTGGACCCTATCAACTCTGTACCAAAGCCAGGCTGAGGCTACTACTGACTCCTATCCTCCTCTTCTTTAAATCCTAATTCATTGTGCAATCAATCTCTTTTTAATATGCTTCTTGTCTACCATAGACATCTCCCAGCTTGACTCAGTCTCTCCCTCTGTTTCTATGATGAACTCTGCTCTGAAAGGACTGACCACAACCCTGTTCCCTGGTGGAATATGTTTATTGTATACAACATACTCCCAACAAACCTGCAGTAAGAGACCCTCTATGCCTACTGAGATGATATTGTGACTTTAAAAGTGTAACATACCCATCATCCAAATGATATAGCGGGAAGGCTACTGGCCAAATTTGCCAGTCTCTGCCTCACAGTTGACACGATTGAACATGGCAAGTTTGTGAGCAGTCCACCACCAACAAAATGTATCAATACTGAAGATATCTTTACAAAACCATCACACAATTGTACCACTGCCATGTGGTGGAGCCCTATGGACACTGTAACAGATCAGGTTCAATAGAGTGAAACAATAACAAAATGTTATTCAGATATTTTTGTCCTAGCCTGTTCTGGAGGCAAACATTAATTCATCAGTGACAGTCCTAGTGTGAATCCACTTAGTGAAGTTTTATTTGGCAAAATCATTGAACAGATGTCTTTAAAATCCCATCTTCCCTTCGTGTTTCATATACTAATACAAATAACTATGCTGGTTTAACATTTACTCATTTTTCTTGTACTAACTTTAACAATATAATTATTGCATAACAATTCAAAGCTTTGTCAGCTGGGAGTAACACTCTTCAACTCCTGTCTTACTTCCCTTATAGCTGAGGAACTGCTGTGGACTATCTGGGCTTTGATAGGAGTTTATGATTTAATGCAGTCTTCCTTCAAATGGTTAATGTTTTAACCTTTCCAGGGGTGTGTATTGGGATGTTTTGCCCCCATGCCACCCCACCCTTACCCATGTACCCCCTCTCACCGTGCAGTCGCAGCCCGTTGGTGGGGCACCAAGCGTATGGACTTTGCCTTGTACTGCCCTGATGCCCTGACAGCCTTCCCCACGGTGGCACTACCGCACCTCTTCCATGCATCCTACTGGGAGTCCACTGATGTAGTGTCCTTCCTGCTGCGACAGGTAAGCTCACCCCCCAAACATCCATGGCCTGTGCTTCTCGCCCCCTTTACACTAGTGTAGGCATGGTGAGTATGTATGGTGTCATCTATATGTTTCTTTTAGGTGATGAGGCATGACAACTCCAGCATACTGGAGCTGGATGGTAAGGAGGTGTCAGAGTTCACTCCATCCAAACCTCGGGAGAAGTGGCTCAGGAAGAGAACCCATGTCAAGATCAGGGTACGGTCTGGTGCAATTAGAACAGTGTTAACCACTCTATAGGCTAACACTGTAATTGTGTCTCAATCTATTCATGTGTGTGTATCTTTGACAGAATGTGACAGCCAATCATCGTGTGAACGATGCAGTGTTCACAGAAGATGGGCAGCAGATCGTGACTGGCCGCTTCATGTACGGACCTCTGGACATGGTTACATTGACAGGGGAGAAGGTGGGCCCTCGCTCTCTCTCGCTCTCTCAGCACTCATTCTTTTTATTTATCATTACAACAATGAAAACAGTATGTGTGTAACACATAAAGGCCTATATACAAATATATGTACCATCCATCTTATCCATATGTACTTATCCCTCCATCCATGAGTCATATCTGTATTTGTTTTAAATCCAACACACAGCACATGTATGTGCAAATCCTATATGTTTGTGTTCATAGTGGTCGTATATCTCTATGTTTACAGGTGGACATCCACATCATGACCCAGCCTCCATCTGGAGACTGGGTGTACTTTGACACGGAGCTGACCAACAGCAGCGGCCGCGTGTCCTTCATAATCCCAGAGAACAAACAGCTGGGGGTTGGTGTCTATCCGGTCAAACTGGTGGTCAGGTGAGACTGGTATCTATGGCACACTCTTCTCTGGCCTCTTTCAGCCAATCCAGTCCTGAGGCCTGATAAATGGTGACCTCTGTTTTTGGAGTGTTTTAGATTTCTCTGATGTCTTTTTTTACTCTGTTCCTTCATTTATTTCCACCTGTCTCTGTCTCTGTCTCTGTCTCTGTCTCTGTCTCTGTCCCTTTCCCTGTCTCTGTCCCTGGCTCTGTCTCTGTCCCTGTCTCTGTCCCTCTCTCTGTCTCTGTCCCTCTCTCTCTGTCTCTGTCTCTATCTCTGTCCCTGTCCCTGTCTCTGTCCCTGTCCCTGTCCCTCTCTCTGTCTCTGTCTCTGTCTCTGTCTCTGTCTCTGTCCCTGTCCCTGTCCCTGTCTCTCTCCTCCTCCATCGTTACATTATTTTGTCTCCTATCACTACCAGGGGGGACCACACATTTGCAGACAGCTACCTGACAGTGCTTCCCCGTGGGACAGAGTTTGTGGTGTTCAGTATAGACGGCTCATTTGCTGCCAGTGTGTCCATCATGGGGAGCGACCCCAAAGTGCGCGCCGGAGCAGTCGACGTGGTTAGGTAATATGCACCTGGCATCACTTGGGATTGGATAGTCATAACCACCAAAATGATTGATCTCTGTTTTTGTTTCTATAACTGGTTGTATTGCACTCTCTCCACTCTTTCTTATACTGTTTGATTTCTTTCCAGGCACTGGCAGGACCTGGGCTATCTGATCGTCTATGTGACGGGGCGTCCAGACATGCAGAAGCAGAGAGTGGTGGCCTGGCTGTCACAGCATAACTTTCCCCATGGCATTGTCTCCTTCTGTGATGGCCTGGTCCACGACCCACTCAGACACAAAGCCAACTTCCTCAAGTCACTCATGGAGGTCAGGATGGGAGTGGGAGTGGTTGTTGGGTGGTGGGTTTGTGGAGGGGACTGGGGTGGGTAACAGAGGCTGGGGGTAGGTTCAAAAGTAGGTGAGGGCTAAGGGGAATGGTGCAAAATGCATGATAGGGGGACAATGAAGGGAGAAGAGATGATTGGGGAGATGGGCAAACAAAAAGATCATGAGAGAAAGATTTTCAAGAAAATAAGTTGTCTTGGTCAGAATTTATAGATGACACTTAATTCGCTGGTTCCACAGGCTCACATGAAGATCTTTGCTGGCTACGGTTCTACCAAAGACATTTCAGTCTACACCTCCATCGGCCTCTCTCCCTCCCAGATCTACATCATTGGCCGACCCTCCAAGAAGATGCAAGCTCAGTGCCAGGTACGATACACATGCACTTCTGACATTTTAGTTTAGTCCTGGTCCTGTATACTATATGCAGCACACCATTACATTTTATGACTGTCTCTTTCCCCTGCCTGTCCCAACAGTTCATTACTGAGGGCTATGCGACCCACCTCTCTCAGCTGGAGTACAACCAGCGCTCCCGGCCAGCAAAGACCAGCAGTGCCCGCATGGTCCTACGGAAAGGCAGCTTTGGTCTAGGTGCAAACAGCGACTTTCTGCGGAAGCGGAACCACCTGCTGCGCACCATCTCCGCCCAGCCGGCCCCCAGCTCGCCCACCGGCAGCGGCCACAGCAGACCAGAGCGTACACAGAGCCAGTCAGACAGCCACAGCCACAGCCAGCATGGCCCGGGACCAGCCCAGCGCAGCATGAGCATGGCAGCAGGCTGCTGGGGCCGCAGTGGCAGCACCAAGCTGGAACCTGGGATTTTCAACCCAAAGTAGGGTTAGGGTTAGAGAGGTAGATAAGAGAGGGATGATAAGGAGAGTGTGTAAAGTGAGAGAAGAAGAGGATGAAATTGAGAAAGGAGGGAAAGACTGCAAAATAATTAAAGAAATTAAGATTGAGATGACGAGTCATTTCAAGACAGAGGGAGAGTGAGATGCTGATCGTAGGCTTTCAAGGCTCTAAATATAGACAGGAAGAAGAATGAGAGAATACAGCATTGAAAACCTTAAGTGCTACGAACCAGTCTTTGTAAAGCAACACTATCAATATAACTGAATCAACAAAAATCAACGGTCAGAGGCTCTCTTTACTTCAGACAGTGATACAATGGAGAAAGGCCTTTTAAGAAGCATCTTATTTAAGCAAGGAACATGCAGGCACAACACACAAACAAACCACTGGCCAACAATAGGAAGAGACTCCTAAAGAAAGAGTTGCATTTTGTTTTAGTTTTTATTTATCAATGTCTTTAATACCATATCAATATACATAGTGTGTGTCCTGGACTGGGGCTTCAGATTGGAGCTGGTTCCATTCTGTGGTAATTCATGCTGCAGGTTTGGGTTAAGTCCTGATAGATCCATGTCCTCCATCTCCCACCCTGGGTTATGCAGGTGTGTTGTATCCCCCCTGCACCATGGCAGTCTACAGTCTCCAGAACCACACAAATACAGCCAAAATAGAATTATTTTCAGCAGCTGCAATACTCCCAAGTCTGTGTACCAATTGCTCTTTGGTTACAGTTGAGACCCCATTTATTGTCTGTGTTATCATACCAAACATGTTACATTAGCTATAGGCCACTGCAATCATTGCCTATACATCAAGTATATTTATATATATCACTTGCAGGGCAAACTTGTATTACTGTAAGGTGATGTGCCAATGTAGGCAGTATGAAATTGTATACTGTATGTGAAGGGATAAGCTGAATCCAAGATGTCCTTTGAGACAGGCTGAAACTGCTCTGTGGACCTCATTTGGGATGATTAATTGTATAGTTGAAGATAATCAAGGTTTGTATATAATATTGTATTTAGAGCTGGGGTCAGGTCTGCCAAGGGGCCATTATCTAGTATCCTCTTCACACTGAGGAGATACACAATCACATTCAGGATACACTTTTTAATTATTTTTTAGATATAAATGTATATATACATTTTTTGTGAACATAAGTGTTTTAGTTCTGTTAACTACATAGTATTTCATTTTCTAGGTTGTTTTCTCAAGCAATCATCCGCAGCAGCCAATACACAGCAGAGGTATTTGCCTTGCACAATATTGTATTTCTACCAGATTGACTGATCATGCAAATCATGAGACTTGTATTAATGTATATGCTATTATTACAGTGTATTCGGAAAGTATTCAGACCCCTTGACTTTTTCAACATTTTGTTACAATACAGCCATATTCTAAAATGGATTAAATTACATTTTTTCCTCATCAATCTACACACAATACCCCATAATGACAAAGCGAAAACAGGTTTTTAGAAATGTTTGCAAATTTATTAAAAATAACTTATTTACATAAGTATTCAGACCCTTTGCTATGAGACTCAAAATTGAGCTCAGGTGCATCCTTTTTCCATTGATCATCCTTGATGTTTCTACAACTTGATTGGAGTCCACATGTGGTAAATTCAATTGATTGGACATGATTTGGAAAGGCACAAACCTGTCTATATAAGGTCCCACAGTTGACAGTGCAGGTCAGAGCAAAAATCAAGCAATGAGGTCGAAGGAATTGTCTGGAGAGTGCCGAGACAGGATTGTGTCGAGGCACAGATCTAGGGAAGGGTACCTAAACATGTCTGCAGCATTGAAGGTCCCCAAGAACACAGTGGCCTCCATCATTCTTAAATGGAAGCAGTTTGGAACCACAACGACTCTTCCTAGAGCTGGCTGCCCGGCCAAACTGAGCAATCGGGGGAGAAGGGCCTTGGTCAGGGAGGTGACCAAGAACCCGATGGTCACTCTGACAGAGCTCCAGAGTTCCTCTGTGGAGATGGGAGAACCTTCCAGAAGGACAATAATCTCTGCAGCACTCCACCAATCAGGCCTTTATGGTAGAGTGGCCAGACGGAAGCTGCCACTCAGTAAAAGGCACAGGACAGCCCGCTTGGAGTTTGCCAAAAGGCACCTAAAGGACTCTCAGACCATGAGAAACAAGATTCTCTGGTCTGATGAAACCAAGATTTAAATCTTTGGCCTGAATGCCAAAGGTCACATATGGAGGAATCCTGGCACCATCCCTACGGTGAAGCATTGTGGTGGCAGCATCATGCTGTGGGGATGTTTTTCAGCGGCAGGGCTGAGAGACTAGTCAGGATCGAGGGAAAGATGAACGGAGCAAAGTACAGAGAGATCCTTGACGAAAACCTGCTCCAGAGCGCTCAGGACCTCAGACTGGGGCGAAGGTTCACCTTCCAACAGAACAACGACCCTAAGCACACAGAGAACGCAGGAGTGGCTTTCGGGACACGTCTCTGAATGTCCTTGAGTGGCCCAGGCAGAGCCCGGACTTCAACCCATCGAACATCTCTGGAGAGACCTGAAAATAGCTGTGCAGCGACGCTCCCCATCCAACCTGACAGAGCATGAGAGGATCTGCAGAGAAGAATGGGAGAAACTCCCCAAATACAGGTGGCTGTAGACTCGAGGCTGTAATCGTTGCCAAAGGTGCTTTAACAAAGTACTGAATAAAGGGTCTGAATACTTATGTAAAAGTTATATTTCGGTTTTTTATTTTTAATAAATATGCACAAATTTCTAACAACCTGTTTTTGCTTTGTCATTACGGGGTATTGTGTGTAGATTGATGAGGGGAAAAAACTAAGTAATCAATTTTAGAAAAAGGCTGTAACGTAACAATGTGGAAAAAGTAAAGGGGTCTGAATACTTTGCGAATGCACTGTATGATTATTTAGAAAATTTGAAATACAGTCAATCACTTCCTGAGCTGTAAATGAGGCACTGAATGTGATTATGCACATAGACAATACTATTTAGGTTCAATTGGGAGTCATTTGTTGAAGCCTCCGATGAACAATTTGTAGATAATGTAAAAAATATGCTTTGGAAAGTAGGAACATAAAGTTCAGATTTGTTCAATAATGTTGATTAATAATTTAAGGTGATTGATCGTCAGTTTATCATTCAAATTATGTTTACTTCTTCCTTGTTTCAAACCTGTGTAGAACTATAACGGTAATCGACCAATGAGAATTGAAATGTTAGTGAAAAGGTTCAATATTACCCACACACATGCCACAGCAGCAGATCCACCATAGAGAAAGAATCAGTTAAGCAGGCACATGCAGAAGAAGAGACACAGAATGTCTTGGTGCTGTGTGATTTGAGACATACGGGTATAAACATGATCATAGCAAGTTGTTTAGACAAATGGGATCTTGGTTGAACTGTTATTACATTTCTGCCGTGATCCTGGGACAACAAGACTGTGAGGGGGAGGACCATCATGGTGAAGTGGGGTCGTCTCAATCCAAACAGATTGCTCTGGTAGGGAATGAATGAGGCACCAGACTGTCTACAGCCCTGTTTATATGGCTGTATTTACACAGGCAGCCCAATTCTGATCTTTTGGCCAATTATGGGCAAAAGAGCTGATCTAATTGGTCAAAAGACCAATTAGTAAAAAAAGATCAGAAGTGGGCTGCCTGTGCAAACGCAGCCTACCTGGCACTAACATTCACACTTTGTCCTGATCTTGTTCACATTCTGGTTGTGCCCACATTTTCAAACAGGTGTAGATGATTAAAATACACATTGTGATCTGATTGTCATCAGACCCTCCAGAGGTAGTCAGGCACGCATTGTGTCTGTATATCAATCAAGTGTAAACAGATCTGGATGGTCAAATCATCAGTGTTAAATCATCGTTATACCGGCCTCTAAAATCATTGACAGGTAGCACAATTGATTTATGACATCATTAATTGTCTTAAAATAAATAAGTGTTATTATTTTTGAAAGAATAGCTGTCAAATATTTTGCGTACAGGGAGGCACCAGCTAATCTGTTCACAATGCGGACACAGTGGAAGGATGAGGCACTTTGGCTGCGTTTAGACAGGCAGCCCAATTCTACAAAAAAATCCACTAATTTGCCTTTTGACCAATCACATCAGATATTTTCCTGATGTGATTGGTCAAAAGACCAATTAGTGGAAAAAAATATCAGAATTGGGCTGCCTGTGTAAATGCAGCAATTGATGGGACTCAATTATCTGGCCCGGGTTACCCCCGGTAGGAGGAATTTGCAGTCTGCTCAAAACAAAAGTGACGTAGGCTAGGCTAGATAAGGCACGTAGAGTAATGAGTAGGATTCTGTGTTTTCACATGCATAAGTGATTGCTTTTGATAACGCTTTTCCTGCCCTCCCAATGAAAACTAGTTTGAAAATTCGAACATATATTTTATGAAAAAGATGATACAGCATGCAGCCTTGTTGACAACATGGCAGAGCTGCGCAGATTAATGTTTGATTTTTAGAAGGGCGCTCCTCCCTCATTGCTTTTGCCCGTTCACTTCACGGGCCATAGACCAGTGCACCGCAGCTCAGGTTAACAGAACTCCCTCATTGTAATGCAATGTGTAGAAGCGACAAACCTTGATCAGATAGTGATTGGATCATATTGATCAGATCATGAAACTCACATGTTAGCACAAGGTTTAAACAAGGCTATTGTGAACCCGATGTTCTAGACTCCTTGGTTAATCACCAATTAATCTCATACATAAATTAGATCATTCTATTCCTGTTCAATTCCCGACTATAGGCACATTCCAGGGTGACCCAGAAAGCATTGCCCCAAATACACAAACATGCAACAGGCATGGTAAATATGCAGTCAGTTGAGCGGGAGGGTCTTGTGTGGTGAAGAAATGTAACTGACACTGTAGTAGGCTAGGAGTCACTGTCCATATGATATGGTTACCTTTTTTTTGAAGTAGCACATAACTCTTAAGGGCAACCCACATGGATTTCTCTGTAGACAACACTGACTCTTTCTGTGCATCCTGACAGTGAAATTGGAGAAGACAGTTTAGCACATCCAGCTAAAAGAAAACATGCACCCCTCTAACAATTATTACATGTCTGCTCTTTAAAGCATCAGTCCTGCTCCAGAGATACTGTATCAGTCAACTGGACATTGACACCTGGAGAATGTAAAAGTAGATCTGTGCAATCATCAGTTAAACTCAGACACCTCTACACAAAGACAATATCCATAGTTCTCCTACTGGCAGATGCAGATATTACCAGAGGCCTTACAGTACATTTCCTTTTTTGCCTTAAATTTGCTGTTTCCCTGTTCTGACTCATGCCTCTATGGAATAATCCTCCAGTAGAATTTGCTGTATGGTCACTGAAAAGGACCATTATTTCCCAATGAGACGTTGGTATGACTTGTATGTCTGGTTGGTTGTATCGACAGGGAAGTAGTATAAATGTACATAGGAATATATTACAAATAAAACTACTTGCACCCGTATCATATCAAGCCTCCACTCTGCACATAAAAATGTTTAATCTCATGCTAATTGAAATGGCAATGCTGACCGAATTTGATCACATCAAAATGACCTTACCTGGCTGTAAAAATCTCCCAATACCTTGGCTATATACAGTATCAATATACTTTGTATTACTCTGAAGTTTTAGACAGTTTTATTTTACCCATTCCCAGTGTTTCCATGTACAGTGTATAAAGTAAGTATGAAGAACAGAAATTAAATGTGTGGTTTCTTGTCTCTACATTATTTTAATGGCGGGTGTAAGATTAGGTTTTCAACCTGTAACTGAAATAGTAAATACCCGATGCACACAGCGATGGTCAAGGATAATTATCCCCCCCAAAAAAGACATTTACTGAACAATAAACGCAACATGCAACAATTTCAAAGATTTTGCTGAGTTACAGTTCATATAAGGAAATCAGTCAATTGAAATAAATTCATTAGGCCCTAATCTATGGATTTCACATGACTGGGCAGGGGCGCAGACATGGGTGGGACTGGGAGGTCATAGGCCCACCCACTGGGGAGCCAGGCTCAGCCAATCAGAATGAGTTATTCCCCACAAAAGGGGCTTTATTACAGACAGAAATACTCCCCCCCCCCCCACCCCCCAGGTTAAGAAGCCAGATGTGGAGGTCCAGGGCCGGTTGGACGTACTGCCAAATTATCTAAAACGACGTTGGAGGTGGCTTATGGTAGAGAAATGAACATTCAATTATCTGGCAACAGTTTTGGTGGACATTACAGAAGTCAGCATGCCAATTGCGCGCTCCCTCAAAACTTGAGACATCTGTGGCATTGTGTTGTGACAAAACTGCACATTTTAGAGTGGCCTTTTATTGTCCCCAGCACAATGCCACAGCACAAATTACGGAGACTAAACACACGACTCCTTCAAAATAATAAAAATGATCTTAACCCTCCAGCCTCAAGTCCAGAGCACGAATAGTAAAACACATCTTCACAAAAAGCATCAAGGACCATCTTGTCTCCATGAACGAAAAAGGCCATTCAAGAATACTGACGTCCATATTTCAGGGCAATGCATCTAGCCACTTCAAAATAGTTATGGTACCTGTGTAATGATCATGCTGTTTAATAAGGTGGATGGATTATCTTGACAAAGGATAAAATGCTTACAAACAGGGATGTAAACAAATTTGTACACAACATTTGAGAGAAATAAGCTTTTTGTGCAATGGAAAATTTCTGGGATCTTTTATTTCAGCTCATGAAACATGGGACCAGCACTTTACATGTTACGTTTATAATTTTGTTCAGTGTGCATGGTACAATTTTTTTTAAGTAAACGCCATTACACAGTTGACTTGTTTTTGGGTGCAGTTTGAATGCATGTATAATAGAATTGAATATGAAAACATTGACAGTCAGGCCATCATGGCCATTCTGAAGTTCTGATGCATTCAGAGAAAGTCCAAAGTGAATTGTGATGAAAGAATGCTGGTCAAGTAAAATCAAAATGTAATGTTATTACATTTAATTTGAGCAATTAAACAAAGTCTGGCCAAACTTTATTTAAAGTGTGACCAAACATCATATGATTGAGTCACACTCACAGTACAGTCATAGATAGGCACAGAAAGGGTTGTTTTGCACTTTCATTTTGGAGACATGTAGTGATCATGTCACAAATGTGGTCCAGCCAAACATTCACTGGAGATGTATTCTCCTGTCCTATCTATACAGAATAGTATTAATGGCTCCTTCCTCCTTTCTACCATACATTTGGCATCAGGGGTGATCCTCTACCTGTTCAATCCTAGTTTCTTCTGAAAGGAGTTTCCGTCTCCCTTTGTGGCTTGCTGTGACAAGAATGGAGGGTAGGTATTAGGTAGGCTTTTTTGGGGGGGTAAAGGACAACATTTTAACCCCCAAAAGCACACACAGCTACATGGCCTTTGATGGTTTTCAATTTACCTTGTTGATCTCTTTGTGTCTCTCTCTACTGACAATCTCCTCAATGATCTCTCCTTCTCCCCTTATCAGCCTGAAAAACAAAGATAATATAATTTTTCTTTATACACATAAGGAATAAAAACCAGCACACACCCAGCCCATATAGGAATAGAGAGAAACTACTGAGCCATAGATGCCATGGGAACATTCATGTTGTCTATAGCGTTGGTGTACCTGGTGCGTCCAGTCTCAGGATCTACCACCCTGCGGATGACACTCTGCTTAGCCTCATACTCCTCCTTTGTTAGGGGCCGCTTGGTGGATAGCCTGGCTTTCTGCTCATCTGTCATTGCTAAAGAATGGACAAAACAAAAGATCCATCCATCTGCTCAGCTTTATGTTCATTTTCCATTCCTTGTTGAGCTAGGTAACAAAGAAACATCCAACCATTGTCAACATAAGACAAAATGTGAGACAGCTACAAGTCTAAACTCAACTGCTGGTGCAAATTCCCAATGGATTTCATTGACCATACCTGGTCCGTGATCTTCTGTGCTATCATCACTCTGCCACAACTCCAGGAAGGGCTGCGGGGCACTGCCTTGAGCCTGAGGGGGGGCTGGAGGGGGCATCAAATCTACAAGCAGGGATGCTCTTCTTTCTTCCAATTGCTTTAACTTCTTATTTTTCTTCTTCTCCAATTTCATCTCTTTCTTCAACTTTCTTTTCTTCTTTAACTTCTTCTTTAATTTGTTCCTTTTCTTTTCCTTCCTCTTGGCCTTTTCATCACTTGATGAGGAGGACGATGAGGATGAAGAAGAGCTTGACAAGGAAGATGAACTTTTCTTTTTTTTCTTCCCTTTCCCATCTGAAGCAGACAAAGGTATAACGAAATGTACATTGTCAGCATTGATAGACGTAAAAATGCATTTCATTACCATATTCTCTGACACATTAGATAATAGATATATCTGTGTGAGGATGTGCATTGTCTGAAGCACTACACATTGTTGAACACGAAGTTGAATTGCATTGAATTCTACGTCGGGCAGAAATGAGCGTTTGTAGACCCACTTCCTCGCTTCTTAACTCATTCGAAATAAAAGTCCTGTACGTGAGCCATAAGTGGAATAACTTGTGGGGGACTTTTATTTTGACATAAGGTAAGCAGAGAGGAAGTGGGTATACAACAGACCCACGTTTGGAAAGTCCGTTTAATAATACGTTCCTTTAGATAGTTTCCCCCCGTTTTAATGACCAACTGGCCTAGTAAGTTGAAATGGAATTGTATTTGACTTCTGGCTTCCCACGGACTGTTTTTGTACAACCCAATACAAAAGGGAGCAACGCTGTAGTGTATCAGCATTGCTAATAGCAGCTATACACATTCCAGTGTGGCTAACGTTAGCTGCCTACTACTACTAATGATGATTTAGTAATCAAGTGACGGAAACCTTGGTTCTTGCTGAGGGAACGTGAGGCTTTCTTTAAAGGGGTCGGACTTGCACTGCTGCTGGACGAAGAGGAAGATGAAGAGGAACGTCTTCGCTTTTTCTTTTTGGATGTTTTTTTCTCTCCGCCTTGTCTGCTTGTGCTCTTGGTCGTATCGGCGGAACTGTCGCGCGATCTACTGCGCTCCATAGTCGAAAATGTTAGGTAAATCAATTAATCGTATGCTTCTAAAAGAAATTGCCTATGTTTCTGGAAATAAATGGAGAAATAAAAAACATGTCCACTCCAAAATAAATAGATTGTGCAACTGTTTTTTCCCCCCCGTGTTTTTCCGGATCTTTAGGAAGTGTGTCCGCTTCCCTTTACGGTCCTCTTGCACACTGATCATATAATTTTATGAGCCGCATATAATACGGCCAGAGTATTTTGGCTAATAATTGTTAGAATATTGTTTTTTATTATTAACGGGACTAATATCAAATCAAGATTTATATCATACTCAAAACTATTTATCACCTCCTCTGAGGGTTAAAATTATTGAATTATGTGATATTTCGTATCATTCCTATACAATGGAAATAGAACGGCCTACCTGTAAATCTTTACAATAGAGAGCTATGCTATAAGCACCTGTTCACCCCCAAAAAACAACCACAACATTGCAACAGTAATGAAGACCATCCATTTGCAATAACATTTTATTTCCAAATTATATTTCCAAAGGCATTTTTGAAACACTGTAAATATAAAGCTTATGGTGTTTAACAGACTCGTTTTTTTCAGACATTTCATAACTCTAGCCCTTAATCCTCTTAACTCACAGTGCTTGTGTGATCTAAAGGGTATTGTGGAGATAGGAGCTAGACATAACTGTCTTATTTCTTGCCAGTCTCCCTTGCACTTTTTAATGCTTTCAACATATTTGACAAATGAATGCAGAGAAATAAATAGGTAGTTTAAATTCACCTAAAACCAAAAGTCTAGCAAATAATAAATATGTAGTAGCTGCATGGCTGAGTTGTAATAGTCTGAAATGGCAGGCAGAGGTTATGAAAGTGGAAGGTACCAGCAAGTTGAGAATCTTAAAGCTATCACATATCGATCTGTGTCTGTGTGCAGGGGAGTTCGCCGAGTTGCTCAGAGTGAAAAGGGAAGGGGTGGCGGGATGGAATGTGTCACTTGATGGGGTCAGGCATGGCCTGTTATGAAGAGGCTACCATGCGGATCCTCTCAGCGGGCGTCAGCAGGAGGTTCTTAGCTGCCTTGATGGTGTTCTTCATAAGCATGGCCACTGTCATGGGTCCTACTCCTCCAGGCACTGGGGTAATGAAGCTAGCCTTTTGTCTCACACCTACACAGGGAGAGATAAAGGGTGAGTGTTGCAGAGAAAATGTGTGTGAGAACAGTATGTGTCAGGAAAAATGTAATATAAGACAAATTGTGAAGTCTAGATTAGAAACTCCTACCTTCAAAATCCACATCCCCTACAAGTCTGTCCTTGCCAGTCGCATGGTCATGCACTCTGTTTATTCCAACATCAATAACGGCTGCTCCTTCTTTGATCATGTCTGCGGTGATGAGGTTTGGAATCCCTGGGATTAGGAGAGGGTTTAGAGTGTGATCAGTTGATAAGAGACCCACCCAGGACAACCTCCTCAAGAGACACAAAAATAGCTCTATAAACATACAGGAATATGCAGAATAAGAGAGACAGGTAGTAGACAAGGTAGAGATATCCTCAGTAGGAGGAGAGGATCCATACCTGCAGCAGCAACAACGATGTCTGCAATTCTTGTGTGCTGACGGAGCTGTTCCTTTGGTGTGTAACGGTGAGAGATGGTGACTGTGGCATCACCTGCAGAACCAAAAAAATAAGTAAATGCCAGGGCCATGATCCACAAATTCCCTTTCAACTTCAATATTTCAACTTTAAGTGAAAACCCTGTATTATCTCTACTACCCATTGTTAATCTACCTTTACATACACCCTATTACTGTAGCCCTTAGTTATCCTGACATCATTACTCACCCCCTGGCCTCTCATGGCGCCCATCTGAGTGCAGCAACATGGCAATGGGCATGCCCACATTCTTGGAGCGTCCCGCCACCACAACATTTTTTCCAAGGGTAGGAATTCCTGGGAATCAGGGATAAACAGTCAGTGACAGAGTTGACATTGCTCCCCATAACAGCATAATTCCATTGATATAACAGAGGGAGGTGAGAGATCCATCCCACTACCACACCTGTGCGTTTGATGATTTCCCAGACTCCCCAGGGAGTGGCGGGCAGCATGGTGGACTGGTCCAGGCACATGCGGCCCACATTGACCACATGGAAGCCGTCCACATCCTTGCCGGGGGACACAGCATTACAGATGCACCGCTCGTCAATGTGTTCTGTGAGAAGACAATGAGAGTGATGGTTACAAGTCAGCATATAAATGGATGTTGTACAGTAAATAGGCCAAAGAGCAAATAATTCAAGGATATGCCCATAATAGCCATAAATATTCAAAACAACAGCTTCAAACTGTCATTCTTTCTTTGTCCTTACCAATATGCCCTTTCCAAAGCCATGCATCGCCACCTCGCTCTAAAGCCACTACTTACCTGGCAGAGGCAGTTGCACCAGCAGGCCATCCACCCGGTGGTCTGTGTTGAGTTTGTGGATCAGGTCCATGAGTTCATCCTCAGAGATACAGGAGGGCTTCAGGATAGTCTCACTGCTGATACCTGCAGAGAAGAAGAAGAGGGAGGAATTATGAACCCATTATATCCCCAACGAATGAGCAGTGCCATAGATGAATGGTGACCAGGAAGAAAAAGGGAATTAGAAAGCCACACTGAAGAGTCATAGAATTCATAAAATAGTTTCAAAGTCACACTGCTGTGTAGAGTTCAGCTCCAGCACAGGTAAGTAAAATATTGAGTGTGTGTGTTTACATACCAACATCAGCTGCAGCTCGGGTTTTATTCAGGACATAGGAGTGACTGGCTGCATTATCTCCTACAAGGACCACGCTCAGGTGGGGTCTCCTGTTGCCAGTGGAGACCCACTGTTCCACGTCGTTCCTGGCCTCCTCCCGGATCTGACGGGCCAACTTCCTGCCTGAGATGACCACTGCTTCCTGTCTGAAGAATCAGAGGCAGATGTTAAAGGACAGCAGAACAAGTAAACAGTCAAGGAGTCAGGGGAAAGTATACACTGTGGTGGGCACGTGACTTATAGTCCTGCAGACTAGTTGTCAATCCCAAAGTGAGAGTTCATGGCAGTCAACCAGCAAGGAGTGCCGCCATAAGCCAGCGATGGCCAAGGACAGTCACACCAAGTACAGGGCTCCTGTGTTACCCATGCATGAGGAGTGTGGTGGCTAAAATAGCAAGATATGAATTACAATGTGGCCCAGGCTATTTAAGAAACTTCTTGGAACCCCCGGGCTTCAAGTCAAGTGTTGGCCTCAGTGTGGAGTGCAGAGTGGGTGAATATGAAACCTGAATGCTGCTCTATTCACATTTGATGTCCAATGTGTTAAACTTGATAGCAGTGCTTATGTAATAGCATGCACACAGAGGAGTAATAACTGAGGAGTAATGAGCCGTCCACAGTGATGTAACCATCCCTTGATTCTGCCACAAGTAATTAAAGACCCATAGAAACATTCAAATCTTCCATGGGGCCAGGATAGCAGGTCCTGGAGGAGACTCCATTATGGCATGACATTTTGCATTTGACAACACCCCCCACTGCCCTGCTTCCAACATGCACGCAGAGCATGAACATAATGTTTTAATCTAAGCATTTTTGGACAACCTTGTTGGAAATGTGTTGAGTTCTCAGCAAACAGTTGACAACTGACAATGTTAATGAGTAGTTAACCTCTGACAGGATAAAGTACATGAGTGTCCATCACAAGCAATGGGAGAACTGCAAATGCAGAGCGGACTCAATAGGCCTTAACTTCTACCCAAAGAATACACCTTTGACAAAAATGCATATGCTTTTCACACCTTGCTGCCTTGCCTCCCAGACTAGTTCTCCTTCACATAGTACCAGTACCATGATAGGGAAAGGATTTGCAGCAGTCCCAAATCATTAAGATTGTCAACTTTGAACTAGAAGCCAAGCCAATATGTGTGCAATTAATTATCAGGTAGAACAGAAAACCAGCAGGCTCCGGACAACTATGGTAAGAGTTGAGTACCCTTGCCCTACAGGTTTGCCTTCATGTAACTTGTAAATACAGTTATTAACATTCTGTCAAGTTCAAAGAGTCTAGGACATGGGCTAGTGTGAAATACAAATAGCACAAACAATGCAACTTGTTTTGTGTTGTTATAGATTTATAATTTAGGCTCATCTATGTTGGCCATAACCTACTACTCAAATGCATTATGAATTTGCATGCTCCAAAAGAGACTCATCTCATGCTAGATTAAAAGTGGCTAAATCAGTTGTGATGCAAGTCATGTGCATAGTCACACGTGGTTTATGTTTCTGGACAACGTGTGGAACATTAGTTTGTCATAAGGAACGTGCTGCATTAAGGCATGTCTCAAATAAAAGGGGTTCATGGAATTAATCAAATACATTTGCAGCACATAATGGTCTGCAAAAGCCAGGTTTAAACACACAGGACATGAGAATACTGATAATAATAATACTGATCACTTTGGTTGGTGACCACGTTCCCCCATTGGGAACTTGCCCGCCTACAATACACACAATGCAAGTGAGATTTCATCAGCCATGCAGAATTGCAATGATACCGGCATAACGTTAGGGGGCGCATTACGAAGATCATGGATTCAATCACTCTTCGCTACAATGTATCATTTAAAACATTACATAACATTGTCCTCAAAGCACAATCAGAAACGTTGTATCCACAGCGACATCAGGTGCCAGGGTACAGAATGGAAAACATACATAAGGGAAAGTGTCAAGCTATGGGTAACGTTATTGACAAGTAGGAAATTAATACCGGGTAGCTACCTTCCAAAAAGAAGCGGCATTTTTCATATCGAAAGAAAGTAACCCATCATAGTCCACCAAGACAGATAATCTATTTGATATCTCAATTTTAATACATACCTTGATGCGGACATATGTAGACTGCACACATGATGCTTCGATTGCTGGCAGAATTTTCTTAGAGCGCTCAGCGTTGCCATGTTTACTGATCTAGATAAGTAATCCAAAACTGAGTTTAGGAAGAGAGAAGCGAGGGAGACTGAAGGAGGAAGTAAACCCGGTCTGAAAGAACACCGCCTGTAAAGCAGATTGAGAGGGCTCGAGATGTTTTAAAGGCTCATGCCCCCCCTCCAGCGCTGGCTGCTGGCACTGAGTATATTCTCTCTACGTCAGTTTCCAGGCATGGGCCACACCTCTAAATGGGTACTTCTATAAACTAGGGTACCAGTGAGCATTTCTTGTAGTGGACAACTGTTTGGAGCTGTTACAAAGTCATGAATAATAATTGACCATTTGTTTTCATGTGAATACATTAAGATATGAAGGAGGAACATAGCTAAATTCAATATAATTAATGAGTTTAAACCCGTTCTCATTCTAGGAGTCTTCACAGATTTGGCAAAAATCATGTGACACAAAACATTACCTTTCTTTCCTTACATTTACAGTGCATTCGGAAAGTATTCAGACCCCTTGACTTTTTCTACATTGTTAGGTAACAGCCTCATCCCCCCTCATCAATCTACACACAATACCCCATAATGACAAAAAAAAACAGATTAGAATTGTTTTGTTGTAAATTTATAAATAAATACCCACAGCATGATGCTAACGCCACCATGCTTCACAGGAGGGATGGTGCCAGGTTTCCTCCAGACTTGACGCTTGGCATTCAGGCCAAAGAGTTCAATCTTGGTTTCATCAGACCAGAGAATCTTGTTTTTCATGGTCTGAGAGTCCTTTAGGTGCCTTTTGGCAAACTCCAAGCAGCCTGTCATGTGCCTTTTACTAAGGAGTGGCTTCCGTTGTTGGGTATTTTTCAGTAGACCATACAGAGCCATGGTACCGAGTGATACACAAGGTCAGACCATAGGTTAAACATGGTACATATTTTTTAGACTATAAAGATTAAAACATAGTTAATCATAAAGACAAGCAGTATGACTAAGTGAATACGGAGTGTGGTACCGAGTGGTACACAAGGAGGGAGTCTGAGCCAGAGTCAGGACATGGCTCTTGATTGATTATACTGTTATGCATGAGGCAATGCATAAGGAAAGTCTTAAATGTATATGGTTGAGAATGGGTTATGGACCTGCCATGTTTAAACCATATTTAAGTATTGATTGATATGTTTTGGAATAAACAGAGCAGAGTCAGGAGATGGCTCTGTTATTTTTTACATGAGAAAGCCTGGTTCTGCCACTATTGTTTCCAAACTAGATAAATAGGAGGAGGAGACTGAATAGGGTCAGATTTCGCCACTATCATAAATGAAGAGAGTGGGCGGAGCGGTCAAATGATGAAGGCTTGGAAACAATAGTGGAGAAACTGAACTGGGAGGGTTTAAGCTAAAGAGTATGTAAAACGAGCAGGAATGGAAATTGTATATAAATTGAGGGCTGAGTGTTGGGAAGGCAGTTGCTCTGCAGACTCGGCTTTTGTTGCTCTGTGTAATAAATTAAATCTTGATTCTACAAAAACTCTGGAAGAACTTTGATTTTTAATAAGTATAGTGATACATTTCCACGACACCGTCTGGCCACTTTACCACAAAGGCCTGATTGGTGGGGTGCTGCAGAGATGGTTGTCCTTCTGGAAGGTTCTGTCATCTGATAGTGGTGAAATCTGACCCTATTCAGTCTCCTCCTTCAATTTATCTAGTTTGGAAACAATATTGCTAAACTTCTCTACACCCCATGGCAAAATGAGTAGAATTGCATGAAATTAACTTTAAAACTGAAAATGTTCCCTCAGCTGTCAAGAGGGGGGCCACTAAAATGTTAGGACTGTGACGTGGGGGGGGCCCACAATCAAATGGCTAGGGCCGGCCCTATTCAGTCTCCTCCTCCCATTCCTTCCCATAAGTGTTCAATTGGGTGAGATTTACATTTTACATTTAAGTCATTTAGCAGACGCTCTTATCCAGAGCGACTTACAGTTAGTGAATGCATACATGTTTATTTATTTATTTTTCATACTGGGCCCCCGTGGGAAACGAACCCACATCCCTGCTGGCCAAACCCTCCCCTACCTTGGACGACGCTGGACCAATTGTGCGCCGCCCATGGGTCTCGCGGCCAGCTGGACTCAAACCAGGATCTCTAGTGGCACATGCAGTGCATTAGACCACTGTGCCACTCGGGAGATGCCATGGCATGTGGTTTATATCGTTTTCATGCTCATCAATACATTCAGTGACCACTCTTGCTCTGTGAATGGGGGCATTGTCATCCTATGGGGTATAGCCGTGGTAGCCAATATAATGGCCTGCCCAGTATTTTTATACATGACCCTAAGCCTGATGGGATGTTAATTGCTTAATTAACCCGGGAACCACACCTGTGTGGAAGCACTTGCTTTCAATACACTTTATAGCTCTAATTTACTCAGATGTTTCCATTATTTTGGCAGTTGCCTGCATACAGCGCTGACGTCAACATGCCGAGGAAGATTCTCGCGAGAGAAAATGTTGCGCTAACTACGTAGTTACGTACAAATATTATTTCTTTTCCGTACGTCTTGCACGACGACAACACACTGACAAGTGAGAGAAGGTTTGCAAACTTTTGACCAGGGAAGTTAAATCTAGAAAGACTGTATTTTCACCAAACAGCCAGTGAAACCTTCGACACGACAGTTTTCCTTAGATCTACGATATTCTTTGGTCTGTACACGAAGTTTCCAACGATGAGCTTCCTATTGTAAGTAACGTTTGCTAGCTAGCTCGGAGCTAGTTAGCGAACTAGCCAGCTATGCTGTTAGCTATATTTGCTTAATTTAGGATTCAGACAGATATTGACTACCTAGAAATGCTGTAACCACAGATTATCATAATATTTGATGAAACTGTTGATATAATTTAACGTTACTAACGTTAACTGGGTTAAGACAAATTCTGCTAACTTAGCCACCTAACGTTAGCTAGCTAAAAAACAATAAAATCGTTTTATCTAGTTAGCTATTTTGTGTCACATCAGGGGAACTGATCATTGACATATTTTTACTATGTAGCTAACTAGTGAACAAGTCAGTGGCAAGCAATTATAGATAGCCTGGGTTCCTTCCTGTTTTGTTACCGTCAGCTGATCAGATTAAAGTGTAAACAGGAAGGTTCACACAGTATGGTTTCATATCTTGAGTAGTGAGCACATAGCTACCATCTACTCATTACCACCAGCTACAACTTGGAATATCACAGTTTGTTACTCTATCTCCCCCTCATCCCTTGATCCAGTGGCAGTCGTTCCTCTAAGACCTTTAAGCCGAAGAAGAACATCCCAGAGGGCTCCCACCAGTATGAGCTGTTGAAGCATGCCGAGGCAACACTGGGGAGTGGGAACCTGAGGCAGGCTGTCATGCTGCCAGAGGGGGAAGATCTCAATGAGTGGATTGCTGTTAACAGTGAGTGAAAGGGGTGATTGAGGGAGGAGAGCACGGGAGATTGAAATGACACCTCTTCTTAATGACAGCCTTCAGGTCCTTTAGGTTGTAGCACAGTGTCTATATATGTGGCCAGAGATTAGATTTAAGTATAACTGTTCAGTCTATCTGGTTATTGCCTCTTTCATATCAAGTACTTTGTCATTGGGCATTTAGTTTCCCATTCAGTTGTGCTTTTGTATGAGGTAATATGGGCCTTTGGTCTGCTTTCCGTTTCAGCTGTGGACTTCTTCAATCAGATCAACATGCTCTACGGCACCATTACTGAGTTCTGCACTGAGACCAGCTGCTCTGTGATGTCTGCCGGACCAAGGTAAGACCGGCAGACAGACAATTCAAATGGAAAAGGAAGCTGCACACTCAGCTTTCTTTGCTGTGGATTTATTTGACCAACGTTTCGGCTAAAGAACCTTCATCAGGGTAACAGACAGACATTTGATGCATGTTCCCTCTATTTCAATTCTAGTATTCTCTGAAATGACCTGAAAAGAGTGATGAAAATGTTATTCTTTAATATGTTATTTATTTATCCATAAGCTACTGCTATGGTCAGCCCAGCGCAGACTCTGCCCACATACACATAGACATGTTTTATTTTGGGTACCTAGTTTCAAACTTTGGTTCAGTGCGTTGGTTTCACTTAATGTTTTTACAATGCGAGTGCAGTACAGAACAAATCATTTCTGGAGGTGGCCCGTATTCACAAAGCCTCTCAGAGGAGGAGTGGTGATCTAATCATGCAATCTTATTCATTATGATATGAAAGGGGAAGCTAATCCTAGATCAGCAGTCCTTCTCTGATATGCTTTGTGAATACTGATTCCTGTGTCGACTGAAACCACTTAAGTGCTGTCATTAGTTTAGTGGTATATAGTTTGGGCTCTTCCTCAGAGTTCCTTCTCCTTTCTCTATTTTCGGTCTCTAATCAGGAGGAAGAGACCCGAGCCGAATTCCTGCCCAAATGGCCATAATCACGGTCACTATAGCGTTTGTCCTAGTCTCTTCTGCTCCTTTCCAGCTCCTGGAACTTACTCTAGCATACACTGTACTAATAATGTATGGTAAATGTCTTGTATGAAGAACAATAAGAAAATCCGCACACTAATGAAATGCTCTGTGTCTAATAGGACAATGTTTTGACCCCAAACTGGTTCTTGTCAGGAAGATGTCCTCTTTAACACTAGAATCCTTGGGCCTAGAGGGACCCCCATTAGAGCTAATGAGCAGTCATTCTGACTGCAACATTCTAACATTGTAATTAATACATTTCATATATGCTATCACAAAATAATAATCATTTGGTTGTGTATATTTATATGTATATACATTTTTTTTTTATTGCATTTCATTAGTTTGTTACTGTATACCAGGGGTTCCCAAACTTTTTTGGCCATGACCCCATTTGGATATCTGAAAATTATTGTGACCCCCAACCATGTGAATTATTATTTTTTAATTAACAGCCAATGTTTACTTTTTTATTTGGGGCTATGGCAGTCAATTGAAAAACATTCTGTATTTCTGACTGTCTTCTCAACTCACTGTCACATACTTTTAATGTGGGGCTATGACAGTCAATTGCAAATTTGTCTCACCACCACTAATGAGATGGGTGTGCTTGATGCACATCGGGTGTGGTCGACAGTGTACACCTCATCTCTGCTGTCACGTCCAACCTGGATTGTTACTGTATTTAGTTTTAATGCAGACCAGAGCACTGAATCCAGCTTCACACAGATATGAGCTGGCGAAGGGTAGCCTACCATGAGTTTTATGGTGCTTTCAAGACAACTGGGAGGTCAAATAATGACGTCAGTGATCTTTAGGTTGGAAAGTCGGGGGTCTAGAAAGAGACCGGAGTTGGAATTCCGAGTTGGATGACCGTTAAACTTTTCTACCAGTCAAAGCTTGTTTCTTTCAGAGGTCCCAGTTCTGAGTTCCCAGTTGTTTTGAATGCGGAATTAATGCTCAGAGGGAGACAGCATGGTATTTACTTTGAGTCAGGAACCAAAACTCCTCTGTATTGACCCGTGAATGTATTCACTCACATGACAGTTCGATCAGCTGTTCGATTTCACTTACTGGCATGTCAACTGAGACAGGATCACAGTCAAATGGATTGGGAAGTAGGTCCCAAAGTGCTCTTCCAAGCGTTGGAGGTGAGCAGTCATCAATCGTGTGGGACACTGATGCTGTTTTCTGTTACTTTCTTTTCATTACACAGAAAGTCAACCAAGTCTGTTCTTTTTACATCCATTGTGAATGACAACAGTTCCTCTCTCAATGTGAAAAATCCAACACTCCCCCTCGATAACATAGAACATTATCATGCTCTGATCCGATATCTCCACATAGTTTTGCGAACAGGCATGCGCGCAGTGGATGTGGTTTGATGTAGTTTACAATCGAAGTCACCTGCTGCAGTATATCTCAGAGCTCTGTGCTCAGCTCTTTTGCTGCCAGTTGCTCTCGTTGTATCATACAATGAATGTGTCCATATGGCAGAGGGATACACATTCATAACTAGAGTGCATAGCCTGCCCGCCATCCCGCCATAGATGGAGCCCCATCTGTGAAAAAGCCCACCATTCGATCCCATATGGAATCTGTTTTTTGTCACTATAGCCACGCAGAACACTGAACATCCCCAATGTCATTTCATGCTTGGGAATCGTGAGCCAGAACAATATATCCTTGTGTAGCTCAGTTGGTAGAGCATGGCGCTTGCAACGCCAGGGTTGTGGGTTCGTTTCCCACGGGGGGCCAGTATGAAAATGTATGCACTCACTAACTGTAAGTCGCTCTGGATAAGAGCGTCTGCTAAATGACTAAAATGTGAAATGAATAGCATCCCCGGACATGTAACGGCCCTCAAAGCTAACGTCCATTTGGAGAGCATAAGCTGGGGAGTTTTCGAGTCGTTCATTCAGAGCATAAATTCTTTGTTTAACAGTCTTCTCTGACAAAGGTATTGATGTGAGTTTCTGTGCCTCCCCACACTTTGTTTTCAACATATGAATTGCGGCCGGTAATATCAAAGTCTCTGCAATAGTGTGTGGTTTCATAGCGTAGCGGGCCTAGCCATTCACCGTGGGAATGATTCGTGTGCAACGGTCAAATGAGGCCTTTTCCCATGATCTAAGGGTGCTCTCGTTGAATTTTGAAGATAAAAAAAAAAATATATATATATTTTACACACACACAGCACAAGTCCAAAGTTTGGACACACCTACTCATTCAAGGGTTTTTCTTTATTTTTACTGTTTTCTACATTGTAGAATAATAGTGAAGACATCAAAACTATGAAATAACACATATATTTGAGATTCTTCACCCTTTGCCTTGATGACAGCTTTGCACACTATTGGCATTCTCTCAACCAGCTTCACCTGGAATGCTTTTCCAACAGTCTTGAAGGAGTTCCCACATATGCTGAGCACTTGTTGGCTGCTTTTCCTTCACTCTGCGGTCCAACTCATCCCAAACCATCTCAATTGGGTTGAGGTCGGGTGATTGTGGAGGCCAGGTCATCTGATGTAGCAGTCCATCACTCTCCTTCTTGGTCAAATAGCCCTTACACAGCCTGGAGGTGTGTTGGGTCATTGTCCTGTTGAAAAACAAATGATAGTCCCACTAAGCACAAACCAGATGGGATGGCATATCGCTGCAGAATGCTGTGGTAGCCATGCTGTTTAAGTGTGCCTTGAATTCTAAATAAATCACTGATAGTGTCACCAGCAAAGCACCATCACACCTCCTCCACCATGCTTCACGGTGGAAACCACACATGCAAGATCATCCTTTCACCTACTCTGCGTCTCACAAAGACACAGCGGTTGGAACCAAAAATCTCAGATTTGGACTCCTCAGACCAAAGGGCAGATTTTCGGTCTAATGTCCATTGCTCGTCTGTCTTGGCCCAAGCAAGTCTCTTCTTCTTATTGGTGTCATTTAGTAGTGGTTTCTTTGCAGCAATTCGACCATTCACGTAGTCTCCTCTGAACAGTTGATGTTGAGATGTGTCTGTTACTTGAACTCTGTGAAGCATTTATTTGGGCTGCAATTTCTGAGGCTGGTAACTCTAATGAACCTATCCTCTGCAGCAGAGGTAACTCTGGCTCTTCCTTTCTTGTGGCGGTCCTCATCAGAGCCAGTTTCATCATAGCGCTTGATGGTTTTTGCGACTGCACATGAAGAAACTTTCAAAGTTCTAGACATTTTCCGGATTGATTGATTGACCTTCATGTCTTAAAGTAATGATGGACTGTCGTTTCTCTTTGCTTATTTGAGCTGTTCTTGCCATAATATGGACTTGGTCTTTTACCAAATAGGGCTATCTTCTGTATACCACCCCTACCTTGTCACAACACAACTGATTGGCTCAAACGCATTAAGAAGGAAATAAATTCCACACCTGTTAATTGAAATGACTTCCAGTTGACTACCTCATGAAGCTGGTTGTGAGAATGCCAAGAGTGTGCAAAGCTGTCATCAAGGCAAAGGGTGGCTACTTTGAAGAATCTCAAATATAAAATATAGTGTGATTTGTTTAACACTTTTTTTTGTTTACTACATGATTCCATATGTGTTCTTTTATAGTTTTGATGCCTTCACTATTATTCTACAATGTAGAAAATAGTAAAAATGAAGATAAACCCTTGAATGAGTAGGCGTGTCCAAACTTTTGACTAGTACATACATACAGTGCCTTCAGAAAGTATTCAGACCCCTTGACATTTTCCACATTTTATGTTACAGCCTTATTCTAAAATGGATTAAATAAAACAATTTCCTCAGCAATCTACACACAATACCCCATAATGACAAAGCAAAAACAGGTTTTTAGAAATGTTTGTACATTTATTAAAAACAGAAATACCTTATTTACATAAGTATTCAGACCCTTTGCTATGAGACTCAACCGAGCTCAGGTGCATCCTGTTTCCATTGATCATCCTTGAGATGTTTCTACAACTTGATTGGCGTCCACCTGGGGTAAATTCAATTGATTGGACATGATTTGGAAAGACACACACCTGTCTATATAAGGTTCCACAGTTGACAGTGCATGTCAGAGCAAAAACCAAGCCATGAGGTCAAAGGAATTGTCCATAGAGCTCCGAGACAGGATTGTGTCGAGGGACAGATCTGGGGAAGGGTACCAAAACATTTCTGCAGCATTAAAGGTCCCCAAGAACACGGTAGCCTCTATCATTCTTAAATGGAAGAAGTTTGGAACCACCAAGACTCTTCCTAGAGCTGGCCGCCCTACCAAACTGAGCAATCGGAGGAGATGGGCCTTGGTCAGGGAGGTGACCAAGAACCCAATGGTCACTCTGACAGAGCTCCAGAGTTCCTCTGTGGAGATGGGAGAACCTTCCAGAAGGACAACCATCTCTGCAGCACTCCACCAATCAGGCCTTTATGGTAGAGTGGCCAGACGGAAGCCACTCCTCAGTAAAAGGCACAGGACAGCCCGATTGGAGTTTGCCAAAAGGCACCTAAAGACTCTCAGACCATGAGAAACAAGATTCTCTGGTCTGATGAAACCATGATTTAACTCTTTGGCCTGAATGCCAAGTGTCACGTCTGGAGGAAACCTGGCACCATCCCTATGGTGACGCATGGTGGTGGCAGCAACATGCTGTGGGGGTGTTTTTCAGCGGCAGGGACTGGGAGACTAGTCAGGATTGAGGGAAAGATGAACGGAGAACAGTACAGAGAGATCCTTGATGAAAACCTGCTCCAGAGCGCTCAGGACCTCAGATTGGGGCAAAGGTTCACCTTCCAACAGGACAACGACCCTAAGGATACACATTTCTAAAAACACGTTTTTGCTTTGTCATTATGGGGTATTGTGTGTAGATTTAATGAGGGGTGAAAAAACAATGTTAGAATAAGGCTGTAACCTAACAAAATGTGGAAAAAGTCAAGGGGTCTGAATACTTTCCGAAGGCTGTGTGTATATATATATATATATAATTTTTTTTCTTTTTTTTTTTTTTTAAATGGATTTTGGAATTTCTCCAGTGACCCCATGTTGATATCAGGCGACATCTAGTTTGGGAACCGCTGCTGTAAGCTATATTTAAAAACAAAAAATCACAAACAGTGCCTTTGGTACTACTATGAAACAGAAAACATATGTGTTGGAACGTGGTAACGGCATATTTTTATGACAAAATAAATAAAATACCCCAACCACCAAATGATGATAACATTCGTAGCCTAAACATCATTATAAGCGCCAAGTGTGCTTGATAAATAGTGAAAATCAGCACAAAAGCAATAATGGAATTATAATTGTGTCGATATGACAGCAGTCAAAACGTCAATTGTCAGCTCGTGCTTACATGGTGTGCATCTTCACGCACTGGCATTAGTTGGAGCATGTCCCATGTCACATAAACAATGAAAGCTGGTGAGTGCACTTGCTGATGTTTTTTGCTTGAGATGTAGGGCCTGCTCTCTGTGATGACATTTTGTGCTCATAATCGGCCTGTAGCATTGCCACCGGCCTGTTCTAGCCAAACGGTGCTGTCCCTTCCTCTCCATTCTCACTGTTTCATTTTGGAGGTTGCGCGGGCACCTGCTCAGTGCGTACCATTCTGGCTTTTTTGCACTTAGGCCTCGGAGGTGTAGGTTCAGGTTGAGGCTCATAATCATCATAATGAAGAATAAACATCAGATGTCATGATTCATTTCTTCCCCACCATCTGAGCCATTTTCATTCAGATTTTGTAGCGACGCTAACGCAGCATGTGCATTCATTCGTCTTGGGCTTCTTGTTATTGTAAATTACTCACGCTGTCAATGTTCTCCAAGTAGGCCAGAGTAGACTGATGAGACTGCTTGGATTTGGTGGACTGATACAGGGTACATACCATTATGAGATTAGAATTAGAACAGATCAAAACAATAGAATGGCCCACCCTGATCATCATTCACAATTAGTGATTACATAACTATGCATGTTTGCTTCCCCTTGTTCATCAACTCACCCATTCTCCCCCATCATACTTCACTTAATTTATTTTGTCTGTTATATGTGTGAAATTAGTTTTGGAATAGTTTCGGTTTAGTTTCGAAGCAATTATCGGGGTGATTATCAACTGTGCACAACACCTTCAACTGTCGGGAGAAGGAGGGGAGCAGGCCCTACTGTTGGGAGAAGGAGGGCAACGGGGAGGAAACCATTCCAAAAAATGACATGCCCTCCTCAAACTGGTTATTACTCTGGGTTCTGTTTGTGATATTAAGATTCTAACAACGACTGTGTGTTATATAGACTTATTTAGTGAAAGTCAAGGACAGAGGGGGGCATTACTTAAATGGCAGAGTAATATTTATTTATTTATTAATGAGCAGTCCAAATGACTGCTTTAGCGATTTCTAGTATTAAGCCATTGAATTGTGCCAAAAACAGAGGAAGTCAGAATTGCATGTTATTAAAATTCCATCTCTACCTCCATCTCATTCCATCTCTCCTCCATCTCTACCTCCCTCAAGGTATGAATACCACTGGGCTGATGGCACCAACATCAAAAAGCCCATCAAGTGCTCTGCTCCCAAGTACATAGACTACCTGATGACCTGGGTGCAGGACCAGCTGGATGATGAGACACTCTTCCCCTCCAAGATAGGTTAGGTGACAATTCACATTTGTGCGCATGAATTTGAAACCTTCAAAGCCTAGACCTTTGGCTTTGAGAAACTGAAAGAACTCCCCTGCTCTGTCTCCCCAGGAGTGCCCTTTCCTAAGAACTTCATGTCTGTGGCCAAGACCATTTTGAAGCGCCTGTTCAGAGTCTATGCCCACATCTACCACCAGCATTTTGATTCTGTGATGCAGCTGCAGGAGGAGGCCCACCTCAATACCTCCTTCAAACACTTCATCTTCTTTGTCCAGGTGCAACTGCTAATACATTCAAAATATCAAACGTTATCTTTATTGCTGTTTAGAAATGATTGTCATGATTCTATCAGAAGGGTTATTCATGCTTCCATGGATGTAGTAAATAATATTATATTCCCATTGATGCATTGTGCAATTATAATTCACAGTTAACAGGCATAATTGTTACTATCCTGTGTAAATATAGCAGGAACCTTGATTTTATGTTCTATCACGATCACATATGGCTTGTATGGTCTTTTACCTTGGTTGTGTGTCTGTTTAGGAGTTCAACCTCATTGATCGTCGTGAGCTGGCCCCCCTGCAGGACCTCATTGAGAAGCTGGGCTCCAAGGACAGATAAACTCCTTTATCTTTCTCATCTCCCCTCCTCTCTCTATCTCACTCTCGCTGTGCCTACCACCTCTCTGGCTTTCTAGAATTGTCCACTCTTTCACTTTGTGCCTTTTTCTTTCCCCTCTTTCTCCCTCCATTCATTACCTGTATGTTTTTTGTTCTGTTCCAGTTTCTTGCTCTTCCCTCTAGTTGTCTGACATTGTTTCAGAGCTTGTATTGTTACAGCTCACTCTAGTCTTTAAGGTAAGATACCAGAGTGTAGTATATTGAAGGTATATTTTGTAATTTTGGTAAACAAGTTATATAATTGGGACCTACTGACCTGTACTGTGGACCAAGATGTTTAAGGAGTTTAAATGGAAGTTTGGACACACCTACTCATTCAAGGGTTTTTCTTTTATTTTTACTGTTTTCTACATTGTAGAACTATGAAAACTATGAAATAACACCTATGGAATCATGTAAACTCAGCAAAAAAAAAACTTCCCTTTTTCAGGACTCTGTCTTTCAAAGATAATTCGTATAAATCCAAAACTTCACAGATCATGCTTGTTCAATGAACCATAAACAATTAATGAACATGCACCCGTGGAACGGTCGTTAAGACACTAACAGCTTACAGACGGTAGGCAATTAAGGTCACAGTTATGAAAACTTAGGACACTAAAGAGGCCTTTCTACTGACTGAAAAACACCAAAAGAAAGATGCCCAGGGTCCCTGCTCATCTGCGTGAACGTGCCTTAGGCATGCTGCAAGGAGGCATGAGGACTGCAGATGTGGCCAGGGCAATAAATTGCAATGTCCGTACTGTGAGACGCCTAAGACAGCGCTACAGGGAGACAGGACGGACAACTGATCGTCCTCGCAGTGGCAGACCACGTGTAACAACACCTGCACAGGATCGGTACATCCGAACATCACACCTGCGGGACAGGTACAGGATGGCAACAACTGCCCGAGTTACACCAGGAATGCACAATCCCTCCATCAGTGCTCGGACTGTCCGCAATAGGCTGAGATAGGCTGGACTGAGGGCTTGTAGGCCTGTCCTCACCAGACATCACCGGCAGCAACGTTGCCTATGGGCACAAACCCACCGTCGCTGGATCAGACACGACTGTCAAAAGGTGCTCTTCACTGACACGTCGCGGTTTTGTCTCTTTTGTCTCAGGGGTGATGGTCGGATTCGCGTTTATCGTAGAAGGAATGAGCGTTACACCGAGGCCTGTACTCTGGAGCGGGATCGAGGTGGAGGGTCCGTCATGGTCTGGGGCGGTGTGTCACAGCATCATCGGACTGAGCTTGTTGTCATTGCAGGCAATCACAACGCTGTGCGTTACAGGGAAGACATCATGTTCCCTTATGTGGTACCCTTCCTGCAGGCTCATCCTGACATGACCCTCCAGCATGACAATGCCACCAGCCATACTGCTCATTCTGTGCGTGATTTCCTGCAAGACAGGAATGTCAGTGTTCTGCCATGGCCAGGGACGAGCCCGGATCTCAATCCCATTGAGCATGTCTGGGACCTGTTGACATTTTCCAGATTGACTGACCTTCATGTCTTAAAGTGATGATGGACTGTCATTTCTTTTTGCTTATTTGAGCTGTTCTTGCCATAATATGGACTTGGTCTTTTACCAAATAGGGCTATCTTCTGTATACCACCCCTACCTTGTCACAACACAACTGATTGGCTCAAACGCATTAAGAAGGAAAGAAATTCCACAAATGTACTTTTAACAAGGCACACCTGTTAATTGAAATTACTTCAAGGTGACTAACTCATGAAGCTGGTTGAGAGAATGCCAAGAGTGTGCTAAACTGTCATCAAGGCAAAGGGTGGCTACTTTGAAGAATCTCAAATATAAAATATATTTTGATTTGTTTAACGCTTGTTTTGTTTACTACATGATTCCATGTGTGTTATTACATAGTTTTGATGTCTTCACTATTATTCTACAATGTAGAAAATAGTAAAAATAAAGAAAAACCCTTGAATGAGTAGGTGTTCTATAACCTTTGACCTGTAGTGTATATCCTAAAACAGTTTTACATGCTTTTTAAAAACGTTTTAACGATCACATTTTCTGTTGAAGTTTTGGTCAATAATGTACTTCAATACAGTGTTTTTTTATCTGTATCTGACACCGTTTTACATTTTTAGATTTTTTTTCTCTTAGGGTGAAAAGTTGCAAAAGCCAGGGATAGATCAATAAATATTTGCTGTGACACTTGATATACTTGTGAAATAGATAATCTTCCATAGTTCATAAACAATCAGTGATCATATTTGGATGCTTTACTTGACTACTTAGATGTTATAATATACGGTGTTTTAAGAGAAGGCAATCAACGTATCAGAGGATACGTTTTAAAAACGTATATGAAATGTCAAAAATGAAATGTGAATATTTTGATCTTACTCATTCTGTAATTTCACTCAAATAGCACAAATGTGCCTCAATTATGTTTTAACTATTTCAAATTCCTTTGATATCTTTGTCCTACATGCTGGTACTTAATTTGAATATCAGTATCAAGTCAATCTTTTGTTTTATTGTTTATTAAACATACCTTTACTTTACTAATGCATGCAAAATGCAATAATAGCAATAGTGCTTGCACCAATACATGACAAGGGACAGTGTACAGGATTTTTTGTTTTTAGTTGTGATGTTTTGTGCTATTTGTCTTAGCTGAGTGTGTGACATGTTAACTCACCCTAGTCATTATCTGTGTTCAATCCTGGCACACAGGGCTAAAGCAGCAGGGCTGTTTGTTGTGCCACCTTGACACATGCAATTTTGATCACCAAAATGGAATCTAAGGCAATGGAAATACATGTTTAAACTGCTTATCTCTCATTTGGCCCCCAGTTTGGAAAATACATCCTTGTAGAAATATGGTCTTCTAGTCAACACATGGTATTAAGCAATTGTGAGATTGGTATGTCTTTACAAAACCCCAGCATGTTTGTGATGTTCATCATCTTTCCTAATATGTGCTCATATGTTTGGATAAAGTGACCTGATATACCTCCGGTATGTGATTTTATTGCATTCAACATTGCAATTTTGAATGTGGAGTTACATTCCCCATAGGTAATGAGATGTTGGGAATAATGATAAGACCATACACACTCCATATGTTTCTGGAATATGTCAGGTGTAGTTTTCTCTAGAAAAATATATCTACTTTGGTTTTTCTCAATCTCATATGATTTATTTGACACATTTACTTCATTTTGTCTACCCTTTTCTCCCATATATCCAATGAAAACTTTGTTTGGCATGCCATAGATTTGGAGTTACATTTAATCTGATGTTTTATATTGCTGTAAAATTAATTGTATAACTTTGAGTAAAGAATTCAGAAAAGGGTTAGACTTTTTATATATATATTTAGATGGTTATAGAACTTTTGGAGGTAGCCTAATTCGTGGGCAATGAATGTTACAACTGTGAGTCCAATACTCTGCTGTAAATAAGGTAATTTACAGTACATTATGTGAACAAAACTGTGCCTTTTAGAAAAGAGAAAATAATGTGTCTGAAATTACAGTATTGATGGCACAATAGTTTAATAAACATTAAAAGGAGTTTGTGGAGATTGCAAGTGTCTGTTTCGAAATTATTTTAAATGTGTATGAGAGCCTCACAAAACATAATTAATTTGTTGCTCAAGTGATCAAAAAGAGTTGGTAAACTAAATGACACCTTTCTTGATAATAACTGCCTGGTGTAAGATCACATCTACTATTTTTAACAACCACTCCCATCAATACGTCCTAGACAATTGGTTATTTATATCAACATTCTGTCAATTAAATGTTTTTCTGAAGACAACATATTCACAAGACAATCTATTCATTTTGTCAAAGCCCTTGCTAGCCGGGATCCTTGGGACGTCGCAACTCGGAAGTTACTCCATTGAAGTTTACATTTACAAGTGTTAGGAATGGGTTATCGTTAAGGATTTAGGGTATGAACGTCCCAATTATCAAATATTAGCAAATTCCACTCGGGTGATCTCATTGGTCAACTGTCTTTCGGTGACTAGCGAATCAGAGAGTTATCCGTCACTAGTACTTTCAGGAAACGCACGGTTTGCATAAACGAGCTTGGAAAGTAGGGTGAAACGAAAACAAATTTAGCAGCAGAAGAGCTTTCTTGTCACCCCGTAAGTTTACTCTGACATTTAGCTATTGAAAACAGCGATTTAAAGCCGCCGTCAATCTTTACCTAGCTAACTAGCGCCTAGACATACCTAAAAAGTAGCGTTAGCCAAGTAACGTTACAGTAAACAAACAAGGGACTAAAGTCACAGCACAGGTAGCTATGTGACTTTCTCATTTATAGATACCGGTACAACCTGCTAAATCGAAACTACCAGCATTGAACTGAAACAATAGCTAGCTACGTTGCATGTTCGCTTGGTCATTGTCAGCCAAATGACGATACTAGCTAAATGGGAACTTTTCTAGCTAGCTTGCTTGTTAATTAGCTAGCTAACGTTACTGTTTAATTTGGGCAGATTGCTAGCTAGCTAGTAATAATGTGTGTTGTGGGTCATTGTAACGTTATATCTGTACATTCTGTAGCTAACTAGCTATAAAAGGCGACCTTTGATGCCACATCAATTTTCGGTGGATTGTTTGCCACCCGAGTTTCAAATGCCCCTTGGCAATTTTATCCTATTTTTCTCTCCTTCTTTTTATGTCCATACAAGCCATGGCAGATGAAAGTACACAGTTCTGTGCCAATTGGTAAGTATGAAGATTCAGGGTAGTTGAGTAGTAGGGACAATGTGGATAAATACACATTAGAAGTCTGTCTGATTCTCGCTCTTTCTCTGTCTCTCTCCTCTCCTTCTTTCTTTCTCTCCTGCGCTCTAGTCAGCATGACATTCCAGAGGCTAATTTCACTACTCATGAGATTCACTGTTGCCGGAACATTGCTCTGTGTGAGGTGTGCCAAGAGCCAGTGCCCCGTTCAGATCTTCAGCAGCACAAGGAGCAAGAGCATATGCAGGTACAGTGCTAAACATGGAGAGGGCGGGAGCCGGGAGGTGGGTGGGCTATTCTTAAATTAGCCTATTAAAAGCTAGGGAGACATCCCAAAGTTGCTGTACAGTTGTTGCAAAGGAGGCTTCAAACATTTTCTTTAAATTTCAGGTGAAATGTAAGTGTGGTTTAAAGGTTGAGAAAAGCCATATCGAATCCCACCAGGTATGTAAAACTTGTATCAGGATGGAGACCTTCTCATCTACCTGACTTGTGATGGTCATGTATTACATTGTAACTGAGACGTGGCCTTTTCATCTGACCTCGCTCTTTTCCAGAGCTCTGAGTGCAATCAGCGGATGGTGCCGTGTCAGTACTGTGACCTGGAGCTGGTTTTCAGTCAATCTAAGGAGCATGAGGATTATTGTGGGACGCGCACAGAGCCCTGTCCATTCTGCATGTGCAATGTAATGTTGAGGGAGCAGGCTGTCCACCCAGCCTGGTGTGGTAGCCTCACGCCTCCTCAAGAAAGGAACAACAGCCGGGCAAGTCACAGCCCAGCAGAGCCCCAGTCCCCAGGAGCCTGGTTTGAAGCCTACTCCATCCGTAACCTGTTTAGGGCCAAGGAGGGAGGAGGCCACAAGAACAACAACGCCAGTGCATCTGACCGCAGGGCCCTACCACGGCCCCTGGAGGCCAGAGTGCACAACAGCACCCGGGGGCAAGTGGGCCTGGGAGGAAGGGTGAACATTGCCCCTAGGAATACAGACTTCAGCCACTGTACGTCAGCCAATGGCTCATACAAAGTGTTAAAGTTTTTCTTCTCCCTTACATTATCCAAAAACAATCTTAGAATTTATAGTCTGGTATAGATTAACTTCCCTGGCCTATATTAAAGTGAAACATTGTTTTATTTGAATATATTTTTTTGTGATTGTAAAAACATATCTCACTTGTGGTTTCACCTCCCCAGTACTGGAACAAGAACCAGCAGTGCTGGGCAACAACAATTACAGCATAGCACCATTGGCCTCATTGGCATGGCCTGCAGGCCAATCACTGGGAGAGGACTCTGCCAACCTGGACTACCTGCTGGCCCTCAGCCTGCAGAGTGATGGGGACACAGGGGATCTAGGGGGAGGAGAGGGGGCCTTGTGGACGGATGTCTGGGACCACAAACTTGGAAGGATGTCCAACACCGGCTCCCTCATCCCTCCCATCTCTCCCCCTAACAACTACCAACAATTCACCACAGGCACCAATACAGACCATGACCAGACAGGTCAGATACTATACAAAAATACCACTTATTGTCCCAGTTTGTTTTCATAATTATATTCCGTTACAGAATGTTGCCCTCCTCTGCCTTTTACATTTTGACGTTTCCACCCATCTTTACATTCAACCCTGTGATGTTTGTAAATAAATTGAGAATAATCTAGTGTTTTCTACTGTACCCATTATTCCTCTGCTCTTTTTCTCCCATGTAGACACCATGTTGCCCTGTGAGTTCTGTGAGGATCTGTTTCCTGAAGTGGACCTCATTTTACACCAGGTTAGAAGGATCTTTTGACACTTAGCCTACAAGTCAGGCTAACTCAATGGCGGCTGAGTCTGTCGAGGCCTGGGAATTCATTTCCTTTATAGGCTGCAGCAGTTAGTTATAAACACAGGCCCTCTCCTCCCCATTATTTCCTTCCTGTGGATGTTGTTTTTCTTTTGTTCACTCCCCCTAATTTCCTAGTTTCCCCTCCTGAAAACAGTTCATACTTGGTCACCGTTCATTTTGTGTCTTGCACTTGGTATTAGGATTGGGCGATGTCAACCTTTGTCCTATCGTGATTATGTACTCATAAAACATTGTGATGTACGATGGTATTTCCCCCTATTGATTCAGAGGGGTTGTGTTAAATGCAGGAAACCCATTTCAGTTGAATGCATTCAGTTGTGCAACTGACTAGGTATCTGCTTTGCCCCCCAAAAATACATTCTACAAAAATAAAAACTCAGCTAAAACCACCTTTGGGCTATAGCGTGAAATCACATGCTACAACGGACGAATCATGAAGAAAGATAATGTTGTTGAAAACCTTGGTAGAGGCGAAGTACAGGCAAATCTTTTCTAATATTCCTTTCTGGTGGAACGTGTGTGTCTGTCTCGCGCACATGATGGAGCAAAGTGACAGTCAACTGATGAGGCACAGGCTGTCTTACCATAGTGAGTTAGGTTATAGTCCATGAGCCAGGAGGTTGGTCGGGCTCACTTGGGCCGATGATGTCTGATAGTGATTTCTTTGCAGGTCTATGTCTCGAGAGTTGGAGAATGTGTGATAGCAGTGCAGCAATGGCAGCTCTCTTTGCACTATCACTCTTTCTTTCATCCCTCCATCAGATGCATGTTTCCATAGGGATTTTACCCCATGACAAACAATGTCAGTATACTACAAGCTATTGCTCACTTATACCCTTTAGTCATATCATTGGAAAGATTCACAGCTATCCATCAGACACAATTTTCAGAACTTTGACCTCTATGTTGCCTGTGTAAATGGCTTTAAAAAGCAAAACATGATACATTTTAAACTTTTTGACAAGTGGAAATGATATATAATATAACCAACTTTGAAATCACCAGCTACACCTATTGTTTGATTAAACATTGACATTAGAATGTTGGAAGCTTAGCCATAGAATTCCATGTAATGGGACAGCTATGTTTTTGGATTCTACCTTTGATAATAGAGGCACCAAATTGCACACACAGTTAAGCCCGGTTATTAAAAAGAGTTGTAGATACAGGGCCATCAGCGAATTCACACATTAACCCCACAGTTCTTGCCGCCAAACAAATCAATGTGGTCTTATTGGACAATTTCACATGACCATACCTGTGTGAAATATAATTGTATTATGCCCAAAAATATATTTCAATGTTCATAGTGATGTAGAATACACAACCATGTGAGCCAGGTGTGCCAGATATATAAATATTATTCACAGACATGTGGTAAGAATGTTCCCAAAAAGCTGTCTGAATCGCTGATTTCTGAAGATGTTATGATCAATAATTGCAATATTTAACCTTCAACCATGTTAAATGGATATGCACATGTGAATAGTCATGGATATGAACTGATTAAAATGATAGACAATGTTATCCAAGTAGCTGTTTTCATTATGAGGACTATACAGGTAATTCAGAAACTATTCAGAACCCTTCACTTTTTGCACATTTTGTTACGTTACAGCCTTAAATAATACATTTTCCTCATCAATCTACGCACAATACCCCATAATGACAGTGAAAACAGGTTTTTAGATTTAAAAAAACAACAGATACCTTATTTACATAAATATTCAGACCCTTTGCTATGAAACTCAAAATGGAGCTCAGGTGCATCCTGTTTCCATTGATCATCCTTGAGATGTTTCTACAACTTGATTGGAGTCCACCTGTGGTAAATTCAATTGATTGGACATGATTTGGCACACACCTGTCTATATAAGGTCCCACAGTTGACAGTGCATGTCAGAGCAAAAACCAAGCCATGAGGTTGAAGGAATTGTCCATAGAGCTCCGAGACAGGAATGTGTCGAGGCACAGATCTGGGGAAGGGTACCAACACATTTCTGCAACATTGAAGGTCCCCAAGAACACTGTGGCCTCCATCATTCATAAATGGAAGAAGTTTGGAACCACCAAGACTCTTCCTAGAGCTGGCCGCCCGGCAAAACTGTGCAATCGGGGGAGAAGGGCCTAGGTCAGGGAGGTGACCAAGAACCCGATGGTCACTCTGACAGAGCTCCAGAGTTCCTCTGTGGAGATGGGAAAATCTTCCAGAAGGACAACCATCTCTGCAGCACTCCACCAATCAGGCTTTTATGGTAGAGTGGCCAGACATAACCCACTCCTCAGTAAAAGGCATGTGACAGCCTGCTTGGAGTTTGCCAAAGGACTCTGACCATGAGAAACAAGATTCTCTGGTCTGAGGAAACCAAGATTGAACACTTTGGCCTGAATGCCAAGCGTCACGTATGGAAGAAACCAGGCACCGCTCATCACCTGGCCAATACCATCCCTACGGTGAAGCATGGTGGTGGCAGCATCATGCTGTGGGGATGTTTTTCAATGGCAGGGACTGGGAGACTAGTCAGGAACAAGGGAAAGATGAATGGAGCAAAGTACAGAGCGATCCTTGATGAAAACCTGCTCCAGAGCGCTCAGGACCTCATACTGGGGGCGAAGGTTCATCTTCCAACAGGACAACAACCCTAAGCAGACAGCCAAAAGAACGCAGGAGTGGCTTCGGGACAAGTCTCTCAATGTCCTTGAGTGGCCCAGCCAGAGCCCGGACTTCAACCCGATCGGACATCTCTGGAGAGACCTGAAAATAGCTGTGCAGCGACGCTCCCCATCCAACCTGCCAGAGCTTGAGAGTATCTGCAGAGAAGAATGGGAGAAAATACCCAAATACAGGTGTGCCAAGCTTGTAGCGTCATACCCAAGAAGACTCGAGGCTGTAATCGCTGCCAAAGGTGCTTCAACAAAGTACTGAGTAAAGGGTCTGAATACTTATGTAAATGTGTTATTTCAGTTATTTATTTTTAACACTTTTGCAAAAATTTCTACACCTGTTTTGCTTTGTCATTATGGGTTATTGTGTGTAGATTGATGAGGGGGGGGGGGAAACTATTTAATCCATTGTAGAATAAGGCTGTAATGTAACAATGTGGAAAGAGTGAAGAGGTCTGAATACTTTCCGAATGCACTGTATACCTGCACCGTACATTCCATTAGTGTAGTAAAATCCAATGTTGGGCCTGTTGAGGCCAATTACATTACTTGTAGTATTCTAGTAACGGACCAATCTGCTATGCCCCATAGTAAGAATTTTGATGAACTACGTATTATCAGTTGAAAACGAATTGGCATTCCTATGGAATTTGACATTGTAATGTATGCAGCAAGTGTCTAGTCCTCTACTACCATTGCTGCACTGCTATCACACATTTTCTAACTCTATGGACATAGACATAAAAAATAAATAAAAATGAAGAGACATCGTGGGTCCAGGTGAGCCTGACGGCCCAAATTTGGGGGTCTGGCTCATGGACTATTATAAATCATGGGCTGGATAGAAGCAAAGTCTACTGTCTTCAGAACTGGATAATTACTTTGTCTTATCCTCTTCTCTTAAAGGAGAATTTACCCAAAATCAAGAAACTCCAAAGTGATTCCATACATTGAAACTAGTTCAGTTGAGTTTCCCCTCTCCCTCATCTGTCGGCAACTGCACCACCAGTCAGTGTTGATCCTACGGATGGATTGGGGCTGTGGTCCAGCTGTTCCTGCGGCTTCGGTGGACATCAAAAGCTACATTTGCCTTAATTCTTCGTCCAAAAACTCAGGCTCAAATCAATATGGTTCGACGACACCATCGGTACCCCTTCAGTAGTTTTCTTCATCACTTCAACACTCGTCCTCAGATATGTTTGTAGGTTGTTATTTACGCGGTCTTCACTTCTCCGCTGAAAAAAACGTGCATCTGTGAATAAGGGCGTAACGTGCAGTTTATACATAGCAGGTATTCCCCCAGAGCGCACATGCGCAGTTGTTAGGCCACCGATCTACGCTGCAGCCGGCTACATAAAATAATGATATAAAATACTCGCTAATGTTTTAGGTGGAAAAGCACACATTTCCTGAATCAAAACTAATAGTACTTTTGACAAAAATAGCTAATTCGGCCGTACGCTTTCAATAAAATCATGAATTTGTCAACACTTCGTGGATTTCTGAATCATGAATTCACTGGCAACGGAGCAGAGCGAGGCTTGCATCCAGCAACATCTTGAGTCACGTGACCCGTTTTTGCAGCTGTTTCAGTACAGCACGACAGGGAGCGGGGGAGAGGGCAATCCCCACTGAACTAGTTTCAATGTATGGAATCACTTGGGAGTTTCTGGATTTTGGGTAAACCTCTCCTTTTAATGGGCATAAAGCTGTGATTGAGAGTAGCCTGGGCCAATAGACTTCTTTTTGAAAGCGGCAACTTTAGGAAAACAGTACCTTAGGCTATTAGAATATTTTGGAAAAGGCCACTGTTCTTGAATTGAGTAGGAGGATAGGTTATTGGCCATTTGATTTTCAACCTCGCTTGGTGGGATTTTCCACCCTTCACAGATAATTTCTGTGTTAATAAGCTTAAACTTGATAAAACGTGTCATTTTTCTATATGCCATTGATATTGTTTCTCTCATTATTAGTTTCCTGTCTGCCTTACATTTTAGGCTATTAATACAACTTTTTGAGATGGAACTCTGTTAGATTCATTCATTGTTTTGATCAGACTTGAATGCCAAAACATTCAAGAAATAAAGGTTCACATGTTGACTTATTTTGCATACCCCACCATACCATGAGACATCCATATACCTTTATCTCATGAATGTTTTGGCATTCATTTCCAAAAACACATTTTATTTCCACTTCTTCTATGGGTAAACGTATGCAAAGTTTTGTTAAAATCAAAAGGGATTCTGACAAAAAGAGATTGAATTCAAATGGTTTGTGTTCGTTCTAAAACAAATTCTAGGTTTAGCCTACACTACCGGCAAAAGTTCTAGAACACCTACTCATTCAAGGGTTTTTCTTTATTTTTACTATTTTCTACATTGTAGAATAATAGTGAAGACATCAGAACTATGAAATAACACATATGGAATCATGTAGTAACCAAAAAAAGTGCTTTCCATCAGACATTTGGAGATGAATTCACCTTTCAGCAGGACAATAACCTAAAACACAAGGCCAAATCTACAGTTGCTTACCAAGACGACAGTGAATGTTCCTGAGTGTCCGAGTTATAGTTTTGACTTAAATCTGCATTAAAATCAATGGCAAGACCTGAAAATGATTGTCTAGCAATGACCAACAACCAATTAGAGCTTGAAGAATTTTGAAAATAATAATGGGCAAATATTGTACAATCCAGGTGTGCAAAACGCTTAGAGACATACTCAGAAAACTCACAGCTGTAATCTCTGCCAATGGTTATTAATTTATTGTATTTCATTGTAAATTAACAACATTGCAACCTTGTTTAGCATTATCTAGTCCAAATATGGCATGATTCCGCTATTTGTATCCGTTTGTATCACTTTCAAATGTGGGACTTTTACTTTGATGGCGAACCACGATTCCACTATTGTGGCTAATCATTGTTGTGGCTCCCTTCACGTAGGTCTCCCCAGTGACCTCTTGCTTGATTTAAAAAAGTGAGGAATCCAAATGTTAGGCATTTTAAATGTATTAAACATATAAAGAGTGCTCTAGCTCACTTTAGAAAAGGTACGTCGGCATCAAGCTCTTGGAGGGTAGACACATGGCATAATGTCTTCAGTTTGCATGAAGATGTATTTATTGCACATGTTCGGATCTTGGTCGTATCCTTGCCTACTTTGCAATGGGTTGTGCCCTTGTGGCCCCGAGGCGAAGTGCAGTAGCTTAACCTACAAACTAAAACCTGGTGTGAAAAGAAGGCCTTTAACAAGTATGTCCAGAAAGCCCCAGAATCCCAGACAATATAGAATTACAGAAATAAGTCTGACACTCAATGCTGCGTTTTTATTGTTATATACAGTACCAGTCAAAAGTTTGGACGCACCTACTCATTCAAGGGTTTTTCTTTATTTTTATACTATTTTCTACATTGTAGAATAATAGTGAAGACATCAGAACTATGAAATAACACATGTAATCATGTAGTACCAAAAAAGTGTTAAACAAATCAAATAATATTTTATATTTGAGATTCTTCAAATAGCCACCCTTTGCCTTGATGACAGCTTTGCACACGCTTGGCATTCTCTCAACCAGCTTCATGAGATAGTCACCTGGAATGCAAGGGGGGGGGGGGGGGGGTATACAGAAGATAGCCCTATTTGGCAAAAGACCAAGTCCATATTATGGCAAGAACAGCTAAAAAAAAGTCCATCATTACTTTAAGACGAAGGTAAGTCAATACGGAAAATTTCAAGAACTTTGAACCTTTCTTCAAGTGCAGTCGCAAAAACCATCAAGCGCTATGATGAAACTGGCTCTCATGAGGACTGCCACAGGAATGGAAGACCCAGAGTTACCTCTGCTGCAGAGGATAAGTTCATTAGAGTTACCAGCCTCAGAAATGGCAGCCCAAATAAATGCTTCACCGAGTTCAAGTAACAGACACATCTCAACATCAACTGTTCAGAGGATACCGTGTGAATCAGGCCTTCATGGTGGAATTGCTGCAAAGAAACCACTACTAAAGGACACCAATAAGAAGAAGAGACTTGCTTGGGCCAAGAAACACGAGCAATGGACATTAGACCGGTGGAAATGTGTCCTTTTGGTCTTGAGTCCAAATTGGAGATTTTTGGTTCCAACCGCCGTGTCACTATGAGACGCGGTGTGGGTGAACGGATGGTCTCCGCATGTGTATTTCCCACTGTAAAGCATGGAGGACAAGGTGTTATGGTGTGGGGGTGCTTTGCTGGTGACACTGTCTGATTTATTTAGAATTCAAGGCACACTTAACCAGCATGGCTACTGCAGCATTCTGCAGCAATATGCCACCCCAGCTGGTTTGGGCTTAGTGGGACTATCATTTGTTTTTCAACAGGACAATGACCCAACACACCTCCAGGCTGTGTAAGGGCTATTTTACCAAGAAGGAGAGTGATGGAGTGCTGCATCAGATGACCTGGCCTCCACAATCCCCCGACCTCAACCAAATTGAGATGGTTTGGGATGAGTCGGACCGCAGAGTGAAGGAAAAGCAGCCAACAAGTGCTCAGCATATGTGGGAACTCCTTCAAAACTGTTGGAAAAGCATTCAAGGCGAAGCTGGTTGAGAGAACGCCAAGAGTGTGCAAAGCTGTCATCAAGGCAAAGGGTGGCTATTTGAAGAATCTCAAATATATTTAGATTTTTTAAAACTTTCTGGTTACTACATGATTCCATATGTGTTATTTCATAGTTTTGATGTCTTCATTATTATTCTACAATGTAGAAAATAGTAAAAATAAAGAAAAACCCTTGAAATTATGTAACGTAGATAGTTATGGTGGAATTCCACGATGAGAATGTTAGAACTGTTAATAATTTTCCATGAGGGCTGATTTGATAGTGCAGTGTGGATAATGTGGTAATCACCTGAGGGTAGGTAGCTAGCCACCTGCTCTATCTGGTGAGCAGAAATACATTTTTCCCCTCACGGCTGTTTTTGTTGTCTTTCAGACTGGCTGTAGTCCAGCCTCAGCCTTTGCATCTTTCAGCAAGCGTCCTCCATCTCCACGCTATGATGACAGGATTGCTAGGGGTGCTGGTGGTCTACTGCACATCCCACCTGACACCCCTTACTTCCCCACCTTCCCCCCTTCAGTCTCCCCGCTCTCCTACAGTTTACCTGCCAGTCCACTAGAGGGGGATGTGGTTATTCCTTGTGAGTTCTGTGGAGTGGCCCTGGAGGAGGCCGTTGTCTTTCACCACCAGGTAGGCCTACGTTATTTGCTGTGCAATATGTAGTACTGTAAGAACTGAAGATCATATTCAAAGAGTGTATGCCAATGTCAAATAGTCCTTAGTCACGATACAAATGAGGGAGAAAAGTCATTTTGACGGGAAGAAAATGTGATAACTTTGCTCCTATACCTGTGTATTAACATTGTAATTGCTCAAGTATTATTGTTATTGCACTAACATGTTGCTCCATAGTAATTTCCTAGTAATCGAGTACAGCATTACACTTTGTTTACAGGATAAGTGTGACCTCCGACCCGGCACTGCTCACTCAGTGGATAAGGTCAACAAAGTGTCCTTTCAAAAACAATCTCTTCCTCCCAAAGAGAGCTGTGGACGGATCTCTCCTGAGGTGCAGAGGAGACTCGAGCACCAATGTAAGACACTGAACCCTATGTTCACCAATGCTAAATAATTTTTAACAAAGTCAATGTTGGTTGGGTTCCATCTATCCACCTATGTTTTATTTTATTTAACCCTTATTTTATGAGGTAGGTTGACTGAGAACACATTCTCATTCACAGCAATGACATGGGGAATACTTACAGGGGAAAGGAGGGGGGATGAATGAGCCAATTGGAAGCTGGGGATGATTAGGTGGCTATGATTATACAAGGGCCAGATTGGGAATTTAGCCAGGACACCGGGGTTAACACCCCTACTCTTACGATAAATGCCATGGGATCTTTAGTGACCACAGTACATCAAATTCAGAGAGACTGACTAATTTTGTGTGTGTGTGCACACGCTTACATCTAAAGTGGACCCCTTCGGTGGGCTGGATGGAGAGAGGCCCCCGGTGCGAAGCCCAAACGAATGGCAGAGAGACCACAGTGGGCTGCCTATTACAGGGAAGATCTCAAACTGTGATCCCCAGGTGAAGAACAGACTCCAGCATGGCAGAGAGGCAGATGGGGGCCACTCACTTTTCACTGCAGGCCACAAATCCAACTCTGCAGCAGCTGTGGGGTAAGAACAATGACAAACCTTCCATAATAATGTCATTTTAACAAACAATTTGATTTGGTACAACAACTTAATTTGAAATTGTTTGGGTCACCTAATATTTGGATTACGTTTTGTGTTACAGAATTAGTGTTGAAAGTGTTTTCTTTAGTATAATATAGTGATGATAATTCGAGGATGTAGCGATTCACCGATACGCATCGCTCCCTGGTTCAAATTTTTAAGAGATGAGTGCGTATGTGGGAGCCCAATCCGATCCAAATTAAGCATGCATCGGTTAGAAAAACGATTCAAACGTTACAAATTGCCTGTTTACCAATGTTTTTTTACTATATTATTTTATACCGAAAATACCTCATCTGTTGTGACTGAATTGATGCCTCCTTCAGTTCAGTAGCCTATCGAACTTTTATGCATGTTCTGCGTATGACTGTCAGATAACAACTGTGTGCAATGTGCGGGAGACACAGCTGCTCGCGCAAACGAGAGGTAGGCCTATCCCCTGTTCTAATATATGGCACTTCAGCATTCAGATGCTTGTACAATGGCTTTCACAATGTCAAATCATAGGCTTTATTAGTTACAACCTATGTAATTTGCTGGGTCATTGTTATCAAATGCGCAGTAGAAAATTGTGTAGCCTACCAGAGTGGACGCAACTCACATCCAACTGCTGATTGGGGTTTTCAATCATTCAGATTTTATTTAGATTGTTCAGGTTCACCATAATAAATCATTTTGGTAGTTTTGCTTTAAACAGTCAGTGTATTTGGTCATTTTTACATGAACATGGTAATTTCATAAAGGACAGCAATCATTTCGCATTCATTGGTCGAAGAGGGAGAAGATATGGCCGGCAGGGATGTAGCTCAGTTGGTAGAGCATGGCGTTTGCAATGCCAGGGTTGTGGGTTCGATTCCCACGGGGGGCCAGTATAAAAAAAAAAAAAAAAAATGTAAGTCGCTCTGGATAAGAGCGTCTGCTAAATGACTTAAATGTAAGATCTCTGTAAAATTCAAAACGGCCTAAACCATTCGCTTTCGAAAGGGAGGTAAAATCCCAAACTGCATTGTTAAATGGCTAAATGCCATGCTAATTTCTAAATATAAATATTGACATAGTTCTATCTCAAAACATTTTCAATCTGCAAAAATTGCAAGTTAATCAGTGAGTGATGGTGGTCTCAGATAAAAAGTGTGGAGTGGGGGGGGGCAAAAAGCATACATTTACCCCACCCCTAATCTGATAGTGGAGTTGTAGATGCTCAGTCTGCCGAATGGCTCAGCTCAGGTGCCTACACACGCCACTGACATTGACACACACTAACAGAGGGCCTCTCAGTTTAGGGAAGTCATCTCAGACTCAGCTCTAATCAAACCGAATTGCACCGTCTCGTTTCAAACTAAAACGTATCGTTCCTGTATCATATTGGAGCCAATGCATCTAGATAGGTGTCGAATCGTTCATGAAAGGAGAGATGCACATCTCTAATGATAATGCTTCCAAATTAAATATTTTGTCTCTATCCACCAGACCACCCCTAAGAGAAAATAATGGGGGAAGAAGGAATAAGTTACCAAGGAATGCAGGGCCATCAAAGGTAAACAAACAATCCTTGTTTCTTTAGAGCTTCTATGGTTGTCATCTCTTAAGTTAATTTTAATGTTTTTCTGTGACAACATTCATTTTTAGGTGCCTAAGAAGCAAAACAAAGAAAAGGAAGAGGAGTGAGGGCAAGACTGATTAAGAGACTGTCGATGGAAAGAGCAACAGGCAATCACCAAATGCATTTTGTGTGAGCTTTAAAAGTGGTGGTGTTCCTGGCTGACTACATTGAAGACGCCTCCGAGAACTCACCATGCTTGGGTTGTTGTTTAACACTCTGATGCCCAACTGCGCAGCAGATGACGTGGGGCGCAACCAGTGGTTGATGCAATCCAATATAGTTGGCCTGGAACACGACCAGTCTCTTTATTGCTTGTGTGTGTGTCGGTATGTTTCAGTCGCGCTACCTTTTAAAGTATAAACAGTCAAACTGAAATCTTTGTGATTCCAATATTTTGTTTTAACTTTCAGCTTCTTATTGTAATCCTTTCAGTTTTAAACTGTTTTATATAAGTTGTATAGAATTTCGAAAGCCCCCCTTAATATACTCTTGAAAAACCTATGTAAAAATGTATATGTAAGAAATCTTCAAGATCCACTAAGTAATTGTACTGTTCTCTGAATAATTGAAAATCAATGATAATGTATTTATTTATCTAAGTATTATTTGTATTTAGGGCTGCACCTATAAAACAGTAGTTTTTTTATACGCTTTGATGTTATCTTCATACTTTTAATAAATCCTAGTATTGATGCTTTGGCACTTGTGGATGACTCTTAATGTAAAATAATGTCCTCAATACAAAGTATTTATTCATCACATGGCCATTTTCCTACAACTGTAATAGGCTAAAATGCTTTGAACCCTCCACATGTAAAAAATGCACATATCACATTGGTTACTGCAGTATGACCGGAGAGTGAGATTTGCAGAGATTCAAAATTAGTACTTGGTCAATGGTCCTCTATTTTCCCCACCTGTAAAAATATAGTCTGCAGACTACTGCCGTTAATTTATTCAGTTCAGTGTTGGCTGTATCCCTCATTCAATAGGTTAAACATCATCTGAATTATACTGAACAAAAATGTAAACGCAACAATTTCAAAGATTTTACTGAGTTACAGTTCATATAAGGAAATCAGTCAATTGAAAAAAATTCATTAGGCCCTAATCTATGGATTTCACATGACTGGGAATACAGATATGCATATGTTGGTCACAGATAGCTTAACAAAAAAAAGGGTAGGGGCATGGATCAGAAAACCAGTCAGAATCTGGTGTGACCACCATTTGCCTCATGCAGCGCGACATCTGCTTCGCATAGCGTTGATCAGGCTGTTGATTGTGGCCTGTGGAATGTTGTCCTACTCTTCAATGGCTGTGTGAAGTTGCTGGAAATTGGCGGTAACTGGAACACGCTGCCGTACACATCGATCCAGAGCATCCCAAATATGCTCAATGGGTGACATGTCTGGTGAGTATGCAGGCCATGGAAGAACTGGGACATTTTCAGCTTCCAGGAATTGTGTACAGATCCTTGCGACATGGGACCATGCATCATCATGCTGATACATGAGGTGATGGCAGATGAATGTCACGGTATCTCTGTGCATTCAAATTGCCATTGATAAAATGCAATTGTGTTCGTTGTCCGTAGCTTATGCCTGCTCATACCATAACCCCACCTCCACCATAGGGCACTCTGTTCACAACGTTGACATCATCAAACTGGTCGTCCACACGACGCCATACACGTGGTCTGCGGTTGTGAGGCCGGTTGGACTTGGTGCCAAATTCCCTAAAACGTATGGTAGAGAAATTAACATTACATTCTCTGGCAACAGTTCTGGTGAACATTCCTGCAGTCAGCAAGTCAATTGCACTCTCCCTCAAAACTTCAGACATCTGAGGCATTGTGCTGTGTGACAAAACTGTACATTGAAGAGTGTCCTTTTATTGTCCCCAGCACAAGGGGCACCTGTGTAATGATCATGCTGTTTAATCAGCTTCTTGATATGCCACACTTGTCAAGTGGATGGATTATCTTGGCAAAGAAATGCTCACTAACAGGGATGTAAATATTTGTGTGCAAAATTTGAGAGAAATAAGCTTTTTGTACATATGGAACATTTCTGGGGTCTTTTATTTCAGCTCATGAAACATGGGACCAACACTTTACATGTTGCGTTTATATTTTTGTTCAGTGTAAGTCAATAAAAGGATATAGCCCCAATAGAAGTGGCCATCAATGAAGCGTTGCCTTCTGGTAGTTCACATATTGTTCACTGGTGGGAGCACTCTACTCAGCCATTTCTGTCTTTGAAACAATTCAGCACCTGAATGTCTACACAAGAGGTTCATGAGGTTCACATGATATATAGCCAACGATACCCATCACGTTTAGGCGAAACCATATTTTCCAAGCCAAATATATTATAGCCTACTTTATTGACCATATCTAGTAGTCTTGGATATATCAAAATTATTAGATAATATTTATCTAATACATGCACACAAAAAAAGGGCAACATAATAATACTGTATGTCCAAATATGTTTTGTCCTCTAGGCCTACTTGTTTTTTTCTGAACATAATTATGTTTATTACTTATTGATTGTAATAAACACAACTTGAGTATTTGATCCACCCACGAAGGGCTGCGGTTTTGAATATCTGTTATTCAATTGGTCGATGAGTCTTTCAGGGGCGGAGCAGACCTCAAATCTAGTGGGAATTCTGTATTCAAACTCCTCAAACTCCGGTTCGCGTATTCTAAATATTTTAGGAGTGAGAGAAAAGTGAAGGAAGCCAGATAGAGTTGAGTTAAAAAAAATGTGTTTTCCATCTCTAAAGCACTCCAGTCGTGTTTTATTGCAATAATCAAAAAGTTATTTTGAGGCAGGGATTTGCGTTGTGATCAGACGCTCACAAGTTATATGTAAAGTTGCTTGGAACAAACTCCGATTCGAGCAGGTGGAGCATCAATTCGGACACGTTAAAAGGGGACTTGGGTCTTCTTTTGGGATATAATTGTTGCCAGCATTTGTATCCTGCTGGTCTGCGTTATTCCATTGATAGGTCCTACGTTTAACGCGCAGCAGTTATTTATTTGAAGGACATTTCCAAAACAAAAGGCAGCATTTTGTTTACCTTTCACCTGTCATTGTATCCTAAAGACTGAAAATGTCTGCTGAAAGATATTCAACTTTGGATGAACCGTCGCTTCGGAATCTGGTGAGTATGGTGTGAAATACATACTGCTTTATTTATCTTGTTGTGTGTACCTCGGCTCATATAATAACACTTTACTAGAGGCTAATATTAATGCTTTTTACACACCTGAGAATAATTGGGCATGGAAGGGCTGGTAGTCTCAGGTTCTCCCCAGTACCTATGAAAAGGGAGCCACAACGATTAGTCACAATAGTGGAATCTGCGATTTGCCTTCAAAATAAAAGTTATGCATTAAGTGACGCAAACGGATACAAATATTTCTACTAGAATGATACAAAAAGTTGGAATGTTACATAATTTAAAATGAAATACAATAAATAATTAATTTGACAATAAACAGAACATTGAAATCACACTGTGGATGTATTAGACTACATATTTGCATTGGGGGCATAATTACAGTGTCTACAGAAAGTATTCACACCCATTTACTTTTTCCACATTGTGTTGTGTTACAGCCTAAATTTAAAATGGATTACATTTAGATTTTGTGCCACTGGCCTACACACAATACCCCATAATGTGAAAGTGGTATTATGTTTTTACATATTTTTATTAGTTAATTAAAAAGTCACAAGTTGCATGGACACACTCTGTGTGCAATAATAGTGTTTAACATTATTTTTGAATAACTACCTCATCTCTGTACCCAACAGATACCCCCCAGTCAAGCAGTGAGTTTTAAACACAGATTAATCCACAAAGAACAGGGAGGTTTTCCAATGCCTCACAAAGAAGGGCACCTATTGGTAAAAAAAAAACGGACATTGAATATCGCTTTGAGCAAGGTGAAGTTATCAATACAACCAGTCACTACGAAGATACAAGCGTCCTTCCCAGAGGAAGGAAACCACTCAGGGATGTCACCATGTGGCCAATGGTGACTTTAAAACAGAGTTTAATGGCTGTGATAGGAGAACTGAGGATGGATAAACAACATTGTGGTTACTCCACAATACTAACCTAAATGACAAAGTAAAAAGAAGGAAGCCTGTACAGAATAAAAATATTCCAAAACATGCATCCTGTTTGCAATAAGGCACTAAAGTAAAACTGCAAAGAATGTAACTTTGTCCTGAATACAAAGCGTTATGTTTGGGGCAAATCCAACACAGTATATCACTGTGTAGCACTCTTCATATTTTCAAGCATGGTGGTGGCTGCATCATGTTATGGGTATGCATGTCATCGGCAAGGAATAGGGAGTTTTTTAGGATAAAAATAAACAGAATGGAGTTAAACACAGGCAAAATCCTAGAGGAAAACCTGGTTCAGTATGCTTTCCAACAGACACTGAGAACAAATTCACCTTTCAGCAGGACAAGAACCTAAAACACAAGGCCAAGTATACACTGGAATTGCTTACCAAGATGATATTGAATGTTCCTGAGTGGCCTAGTTACAGTTTTGACTTAAATCAGCTTGAAAATCAATGGTAATACTTGAAAATGGCTGCCTAGCAATGATCAACAACCAACTTGAAACAGCGTGAATCATTTTTTAAAGAATAATGTGCAAATACTGTACAATCCAGGTCTACAAAGCTCTTAGAGACTTACCCAGAAAGACTCTCCGCTGTAATCGCTGGCAAAGGTGATTCTAACATATATTGACTCAGGGGTGTGAATACTTATGTAAAAGAGATTATGTGTTTAATTTGCAATAAATTAGCAAAAATTGGGTATTGTGTGTAGATGGGTGAGAGAAAATGTCAATTTAATCCATTTTGAATTCAGGCTATAACACAACAAAATGTGGAGTAAGTCAAGGGGTATGAATAATTTCTGAAGGCACAGTCTATGCACTGTACAGCCTTACCCCATTTAATTGATGCACACTCCATAGGTATCATCCTACTCGGTGACACCCACAGAACAACTCTGAAGAGTGTACACAAGTATTAGCGTTGTAGCTCTTTTTGCAGGACTTTGACACCACTGTGAAGTGAGCCACATTGGCTAACCAGTCAGCCTATTATACGTATTGAACATTCATATTGG